TGACTGTGTTTGTGAGTGTGTCTGCCTGTGTTTGTGAGTGCATCTGACTGTGTTTGTGAGTGCGTCTGACTGTGTTTGTGAGTGTGTCTGCCTTTGTTTGTGAGTGCGTCTGACTGTGTTTGTGAGTGCGTCTGCCTGTGTTTGTGAGTGCGTCTGCCTGTGTTGTTGAGTGCGTCTGCCTGTGTTTGTGAGTGCATCTGCCTGTGTTTGTGAGTGCGTCTGCCTGTGTTTGTGAGTGCGTCTGCCTGTGTTTGTGAGTGCGTCTGCCTGTGTTTGTGAGTGCGTCTGCCTGTGTTTGTGAGTGCGTCTGCCTGTGTTTGTGAGTGCGTCTGCCTGTGTTTGTGAGTGCGTCTGCCTGTGTTTGTGAGTGCGTCTGCCTGTGTTTGTGAGTGCGTCTGACTGTGTTTGTGAGTGCGTCTGACTGTGTTTGTGAGTGCGTCTGCCTGTGTTTGTGAGTGCGTCTGACTGTGTTTGTGAGTGCGTCTGCCTGTTTTTTTGTCTGTTTCTGCACTTAATTTTTTTTTTTTTTAAACTCAAAGTTGTAACTTTTTCTTTCCTGAATTCTCAAAGTTCTAAATTTGTAGGAAAATAAAATAGTGTAAAAAATGATACAATGCGTGAATCTAAGTTACAAAGTGAACATTTGGGTAAGGAGTGGGACACTTACATATCCCGGTATGCTCACTTACAAATCCATGTATGCACACTTACATTCCCGGTATGCACACTTACATTCCCGGTATGCATGCTTACATCTCCCGGTATGCACACTTACATATCCATGTATGCACACTTACATATCCATGTATTTTCTTTATGGGGGATTCTAGGGGCTTAACGGCATTCAAAATAGTAGGGTTCTAGTTCCGGTCCCCAAAACAACTTGAGTCTGTTCTATACAAAGTAATGGACGGGACGTGCTTTAAACTTGAGAGACAATCAGGAAGAACACAGCTAGTAACGTACGATTTAGGAAAGAAGAACAGGAAGCTTGACAGAAATCTTAAATCACGTGACATATTGCCATACAGTTCAAGTGTAAAGTGTCACTACATTATTTAGAATCAGATTATTCGCAATATTTGGCATATCATAGGTAGATTGTTTCTTATTCAGTTGCAACAGCTTGAATTCATAAAGGTGTTGAATAATCTGACAAAAGATTAGCTCCAAGCAGAAGCCGATAACATAAAATGTCCAGACTTTGTGGTAACTTTAATCTAAAAATAAGTCTGTAAAAGTCTAACAGCACTATATTGATACCGTCTTAAATTTCATAATTCTGTTAAGTGAAATCAGCACGTGTTCGATCAGTCTACCTGAACACAGTAATTGTATAAATCGATATTGACTTTAGTATTAAAAAAAACTAAGTTTACATAATATGAATAGCTGTCACTCTGATCAATTAATTGGAAATAAATCTTTCTGTGCGCGGCATTTTGAAAGGTTTTTCAAGTCAGCGGTCCTCTCACTGAGAACGGAACTGGCCCGATACATGGCAACACAGTTGTGAGTGTTAGTGGGGGTTATTGAATAGTGAATGTCGATTGGATGTTGAACAAAATCTATAGCGACATCAATCTCACACACACAAGTGTATAGAACCATCTCAGTAACGAAATAAATTTAATACAATTTCTTTATGCAAAAATGTGAATTTTATTTTTTTTGTAACCAATGTTTGTGATGCCATATTTTGTTAAGGGATAAATGTTTCGGTGTGTGCCACGTTAAGAACAATGTGTTCTGTGGCGTAACTAGAGGTGGGGCCAATGAGGGCGGTTAACTCTGGGTGTCGGACGTCCAGGTTTTGCCATGCAGCTCCTGCGAGTGTGCCAGTGTGGTGGCACCCTGCTCTGGCGGCGCCCTGCTCTGGCGGCACCCTGCTATGGTGCACCCTGCTCCACTGGCACCCTGCTCTGGCAGCACCCTGCTCCACTGGCACCCTGCTTCATTGGCAGCTACTCCACTGGCAGCCTGCTCTGGCGGCACCCTGCTCTGACGGCACCCTGCTCTGGCGGCACCCTGCTCTGGCAGCACCCTGCTCCACTGGCACCCTGCTCCACTGGCACTCTGTTCTTGTAATTAAATTGGATCTGTTATGAAAGCGACCAGCAAGCCATTAGCAATTCTCATTGGTTGTCACCCGCCTGTCAGGGTGTCATCCAATGCAGTCCGCACCCCCATTTGTCACACCATTTTCTCACGATGCTGTTGTTATGGCAACCGTTCACCCTGTCATTGGCGATACAGTGGTGATGGTTACCTAAGTCTATGACAACTAAGTAACTGTCACTGCCACAACAAGGCATCAAATGTCATTATAACAAATCTTCATGTCACTTGAAGTAACTGGCACTCTATGACAGCAAGAACGTATTCACATGATAAACCAGAACTTATCTTACAATGCAGACTATCGATAACTATATATCCAAGACTTGAAAAGATGGCCGTCTTCACAATTATCCCTCACTTAACTGCCGTATATCATCATTTTCCAAAATGCCTGTGCAACTTCCACCGATTCATGTATATCTTCTTATTCTCTCCCTTGATTCCACATGACATAAATATAGCAAACAAAGGTATACAGTTACAGTTACGACACAATGAGACGCACAGTTACGATACAATGAGATGCACAATTACGATACAATGAGACGCACAGTTACGATACAATTAGACGCACTGTTACGATACAATGAAACGCACAGTTACGATACATTTAGACGCACAGTTCCGATACAATGAGATGCACAGTTACGATACCATAAGATGCATAGTTACGATACAATGAGATGCATAGCTACGATATCATAAGAAGCACAGTTACGACACAATGAGACGCACAGTTACGATACAATGAGACGCAAAGTTACGATACAATGAGATGCACAATTACGATACAATGAGCTGCACAGTTACGATACAATGAGAATCACAGTTACGATACAATGAGATGCGCTGTTACGATACAATGAGACGCACAGTTACGATACAATGAGACGCAGAGTTACAATACAATGAGACGCACAGTTACGATACCATGAGATGCACAGTTACGATACAATGAGTCGCACAGTTACGATACAATTAGACGCACAGTTACGATACAATGAGATGCACAGTTATGATACAATGAGTTGCACAGTTACGATACAATGAGATGCACAGTTACGATACAATGAGATGCATAGTTACGATACAATGAGACCGACAGTTACGATACTATAAGACGCACAGTTACGATACAATGAGACCGACAGTTACGATACCATAAGACGCACAGTTACGATACAATGAGACCGACAGTTACGATACATAAGACGCTTTCATGTCCAATTGTCTTTATCAATTTTGACTACTTTTCTTTAATAGGACAGTTGTGTAAAGACAAAACACAACCCTTGGGATGTACGCCATCATTTATCTTTGATGATAATATTGAACTAATGTATTTTTAATGCTAAAATTTTCCCTGTATATATCTGGATTAGCGACTCCTTCTGAAAGACTTGATCCGGGGCAGCGTCACTGTCACGGTTCACTTTTCTTTCATTCCTCGGAGTTTGAGAACCACTTGGCGCCAAGCAGTGGCATTGAGACTCGCTTGCTTTCTCTCAGGCAATATTTCCCAATATCCCTAATCAAGGTCAAAAGGTAAAGACACAACACCCAAAAAAAAAATACCCAACCTTGCCGTAAAATGGAGCCACGCCAACTCTGGGCAATAAGAAAGGTGTTATAACGGATCAGTGGCTGGCAGTTCGACCTGGGACAGAGGCACAGATTGCGTGCTGGCGGATTAAGTCAACATTTCAATTAAACCAGGCAGGCAATAACAAACATACGGGTGAAGCGGACGGGGGACATCCCAGTTGAATGGATTATGTCAGGACATACTGGTGGAATGGATTATGTCACTGTGGGTAAGGGGAGGTAATTGTGTTTCGTCAAAAGGAAAATAACTCACGTATTGATATTTTTGCAGTATCAACATTACACATTAATGTTACGTTCTTGGGGATACTGCATTTCAAACCTAACCTAATCGAAAGTGTACAAGTTTGATAAGTCGTTTACCAAACACCAATATTTATTGACTAATTATTTTCAATTTGCAAAAACGTGACTTGATCTATTTATAGTGTGGTGGTAAACCATATCCGGTAAGATGGTTTAAAATAGTTTAAAAGAATTTGTTAGGTGTCAGTTTAAACTAATCTCTTTATTGTTTGCTTCTCAACCGTCACTAAGTGATGATATGTTACAATTAATTTCATCGCCAACAACTGATATGTTCAAAATAAAACTTTCGTATCTACTTTTTAAAAAAAACCTGTAGTGCCTATGTTCCACGTATAACTGTAGTGCCTATGTTCGACTTAAAACTTTAGTGTCTTTGTTCGACATAAAATGTTTGTGTCTATGACTATGCTCGACATAAATTGTAGTGTCTTTTTCGACATAAAACTGTTGTGTCTATGTTCGACATTTAGCTACAGTGTCTATGTTCGACATAAAACTGTAGTGCCTATGTTCAAAATATTGCTGTAGTGACTATTTTCCCACATACAACTGTAGTGTCTATGTTCGACATAAAACTGTAGTGTATATATTCGACAAATAAATGTAGTGCCTATGTTCCACATATTACTGTAATGTCTATGTTTGAAATAAAAATGGAGTGTCTGTGTTTGACATAAAATTGTGTGTCTATGTTTGACCTAAAATGTAGTGTCAACGTTGGTCATAAAACTGGTATTTCTATACTTGACATAAATCTGTAGTGTCTATGTTTTACATACAACTGTTGTGTCTATATTCTACATAAAACTGTAGTGTCTATGCCTGACATAAAAATGTAGTATTTTTGTTGACATAAATCTTTAGTGTCTATGTTGTTTATTCCTTGTGACCCACAGTTCAATGTCTTCAAATTTATTTTCAGACAAAGACTACAATGATCATGGTGGTCTTTTGTGACAGGTGTCAGAGCTTTACAACTAGAATAAAATTTAGTTACGTGTAGTGATTTATTGGGGAGAAAAAAAAATAATTTTATGACTTGTCGCTTACACGTATGTTTAATTAATGACAATGGTCAGTGCTTCTTTGACAGGAAATAAAAGGTTATAGTAAATGGCATGCAATAAGTCAATACAATCTCATAATCAAGTCCAGTCCATCAAGACATAGTTTGTGCTTCAGACAAGTCCGCTATTCAAAAGTCATCATAGGCTAACATCCAGTCAACAATAAAAAATCTTTACCACAGATTTTGTAACCCCAAAGGCGTCCATGACAGATTGACTATTTTACTTTAAGAGCAAACATGGAACAGATTGAAGTGCTTTCCCGTCCGAGTGGCAGCCATGTTGCCATGGACGCGGGTCTCGACCTAATTGCGCTTTCCAGACTGTTAAGAATTTCTCTAACAGGAAACGGTCGTTCAAGGGAAACGATTTCGGGCGCAGATTCCAATTGGGGCGTGGCTGAAAAAGGAATGGGCACGGAGTTGTTTGACTTGGAAACTTTGCCTTCAGGACACACCATCACAGATACAGGAGCCACTGCAAGTTTTGATATACACCCAGAGACCGACCTACCCGGGACAGAGCCAGGGAGTGTCCACACGATAGCAGCAGCTTCGCGGGAAGCAGTCAGAAACGGCGCTGTCAATGTGATAGCGAGCCTGCTACCATTAGTTAAGAAACTCATTGCAACAAACGACTCTGTCACTGGGGCTGGAGACTACATGGATGAGCTGGTCGCCGAGGCCATTGACCGGAGGCAGTGTGCGGTTCTCAGGCTGTTGGTGAGTGGCATCACATAAATGAAAAGAACGAATTTGCTCAAATGGATTTGGGGGGGGGGGCCGGTTAAAAAACCTACAGTTTTTTTTTCGAAGTCATGTATAATAATTACTAAAATGGATTTGGGGGGGGGGGCGATTAAAAAACCTACAGTTTTTTTTTCGAAGTCATGTATAATAATTAACACCTCCTGCATTGCAAGTCTATAAAATCTCTCTTTAGAAATATTATTTAGCCTGAAGAGAATTAAATGCTGAGAATCACAAATTTAATAGAATTCTGAACCACTAAAATTAACTTTAAATATCCACTAATGACTACAGCTAATTTAACAAACCCTATTAAAAAAATTAATTCGTATAAATCTTTTATAAAATTTAAAATCGAGTAGTGGGGGTGGGGCTGAAAATTTGACTTTATTTTCATACATTTATCGTTCTTCAACGCTCCCAATTAGTCCCCCCCCCCCCCCCCCCCTCTCGCGACAGCACATCTTTTTCAGACCCCTGAACAAAGACAGTATTCTAATGACCCAGCCACAGTTTTACCGCAGATTTATTTCAGCAACTATTTCTGTAAAACAAAATATAATATTACGCACCAAACAACGCACGTGCGATCATTTTATTTACGGATCTTATTTGGCACAGTTATCGTGAATTTTATATTGTCATATTGTGTTCCCTTTGAAAAATAGATAAAAATGTATTTTGGATGTAATTAAGCGTGTTGTCGTCTGCAAAGAGTCTATGGTCTGAGTTTGGACTCGATAGATTGACGGAAAGTCAGTGATTTATTAGTCTGAAGATTTTGCCTGCTAGCCGGTCAGTCAGCCAGTCAGTCAGCCAGCCAACCAGCCGGTCAGTCAGCCAGCCAAACAGCTGGTCAGTCAGCCAGCCAATCAGCCGTTCAGTCAGCCAGCCAACCAGCCGGTCAGTCAGCCAGCCGGTCAGTCAGCCAGCTGGTCAGTCAGCCAGTTGGTCAGTCAGCCAGCCGGTCAGTCAGCCAGTTAGTCAGTCAGCCAGCCGGTCAGTCAGCCAGCCGGTCAGTCAGCCAGCCAGCCAGTCAGTCAGCCAGCCAACCAGCCGGTCAGTCAGCCAGCCAACCAGCCGGTCAGTCAGCCAGCCAACCAGCCGGTCAGTCAGCCAGCCAACCAGTGCCAGCCAGCCAGTCGGCCAGCCAGCCAGCCAGTCAGCCAGCCAGCCAGCCAGTCAGTCAGCCAGCCAGCCAGCCGGTCAGTCAGCCAGCCAGCCAGCCAGTCAGTCAGCCAGCCAACCAGCCAGTCAGTCAGCCAGCCAAGCAGCCAGTCAGTCAGCCAGCCAACCACGAACAAGAGCGACGTTAATAAAGAGGATTTTAAAATAGTATTATTTTATATTCTTTTAAAAGAGAAGGACGATTAATTACATTATAGAATTTTTTGACAAAAGAGCTACGATATTTTTATTATTATAAAATTATTTGAAAGTTTCGTTTTGTGAGAGAAATATGGTGAACCAGGAGCGTCGGCTGCCTTATGTGGGAGGTTGACACATTTCCCATTGTGATGAAATCAGATTAATGGCTCTTCAGATTCATTCACACCACAAAATCTCAGTGGTGGATTCATGTTGGGATTCTATAACCCCACAGATACCCCAGGGACGTCAGTGGTGGATTCATGTTGGGATTCTATAACCCCACAGATACCCCAGGGACGTCAGTGGTGGATTCATGTTGGGATTCTATAACCCCACAGATACCCCAGGGACGTCAGTGGTGAATCCTTCGATAAAATGGATAGCCTTTATTATAATTCTAGAAGAATTAATCTCTTTTTGCTAGACGTCTTTGGTAGGATCTTTTAGGTATATGTCTTAAAAGAAATTTTTTAAAATTTAAATACATTTATTAAATATTTGAATAATTATGTTTTTATAATATCCCAATTCGGCTAAAAAGCACATTGTATATACAAAATCAACAATATCTTAACAAACAGAGCTAAAAGCCAGGCACCGAGAAAGATATTTTTGTTGTTGGCATGTATAGTTAACTGAATCATCAGGTTAGTACTTAAAAGGCGTTTCTATTTCATTTCCACTAGTTAAGACATTTTATTGAGTATCGACATGATTTCCTTTTCAATTTTGCCAAATTTTGCAGTTGAACAACGGCGCCGACCCTGGCGGGGCCTACCGAAACAAGTCCCACTTAATCAGAGCAGTCACCGCCGACGATCCTGAGCTCACAAAGGACCTCTTACATTTTGGCGCCGATGTCAACGTCCATGAGGTCAACAGCAAGACCGCTCTGCATGTGGCGTCTGCGCACTCTTCCCGCGACGTCATGGAACTTCTCGTGGATCAAGGATGCCGCCTGGAGGCAAGAGACGGGATTCAAGGCAGCACGCCCCTGCACGTGGCGTGCACCTACTGTAACCGGGATGCCGTCCTCGTGTTAGTGGAGAAAGGGGCGGAGTTTAACGCCGTTAGCGATTTCGGTGACACGCCCCTAGCGAAGCTGCTAGGACCCGTCACGAAAGCTAAAGACTTCCATAGCGAGGCTAGACTCCGTCTGGCTGAAGAACTTGTCGGGCTGGAATTCGTCTTGCCGCCAAGATCGATTTCTAAACGGATCAGCTCAGATCGACCAGTGATGAATGTGACAAATGTAAGGACGAACAAAAAGAGTAGTAGTAAAAAAGGAAGAAAACAAGAAAAATATAAAGCTCCCAACGATTCTCAACCTCCACTACCTGAGCCTCTTCAGCATTCAGATACAGATACAACAGTAGGGAGTTGTTCCTATCCCACCAAACGTGAGAACATGCACCGCATCTTTGACAGGTTGCTCAAGAACGTATCCGGATCTCTGTCCCTGAAGCAGCTCTGCCGTTTGACGATACTCCACGCTCTGGGTCACGTGCCTCTGAAATCAAGTGTACCTACTCTCGGACTACCAAACATTGTTCAGAATTACATCATATCCGGCGAAAAAGCAGTAGAAGCCAGAATGTTCATTGAAGCTTAAATACAAATTTATTTTTTGCAAACATCGTTAACATCAGGGGACACATGTTGGTGTTACTCTACATGACTTTTGTTGATCTAACTCTACGAGACACTAGTTTAGTTATTATCATGGGACACTTGTTGACAACTTGACATTTCAAACCAATATGTCAAGCGTATGAGAATCACTGTTGTTATGTGTATATCATTGTTTTCATGTTTGATAGGGAAAAGATGTTTAGTTAGAGATTGTATGTGTAGCTGTATCGTTTGTGTGAGAGTGTTGTGACGTAATTGTGTAAGGGGATATGACGCGTTAGTTTTGTCGATGTTGTGATGGAAGGTTGATGGCGGACCTACTAGATGAATTGTTTGAATTTCTATACTGAGTAGTGTTTGATTGTATTAATTTGATTATCAATTCTGAAATTATACATCAACCCTAGTTAATGGAGTAGTGTGAAATAAACTCCTATCTCGCTACGAACCTGTTAACGTTGGTTGTATTATTAACTGTTGATATTAGCTATACTGTTCGTGGGATCAAGTGAGAGACTTGGCCAGACAAGTAGACACGCATTGCCATGAGTGGATAAGTACAACACAACAGATTCAAAGGCTCGACATAATACAACTTGAAATTTCAAACAAAAACAAATTGACATTTCAAACAAAAACAACTTGACATTTCAAACAACAACAACTTGACATTTCAAACCAATACAACTTGACATTTTAAACCAATACAACTTGATATTTCAAACCAATACAACTTGACATTTCAAACAAAAAAAACTTGACATTTCAAACCAATACAACTTGAAATTTCAAACCAATACAACTTGACATTTCAAACCAATACAACTTGACATTTCAAACAAATACAACTTGAAATTTCAAACCAATAATACAACTTGACATTTCAAACCAATAATACAACTTGACATTTCAAACCAATACAACTTGACATTTCAAACCAATACAACTTGACATTTCAAACCAATACAACTTGATATTTCAAACCAATAATACAACTTGACATTTTAAACCAATACAACTTGACATTTCAAACCAATACAACTTGACATTTCAAACAAATACAACTTGACATTTCAAACCAATACAACAACTTGACATTTCAAACCAATAATACAACTTGACATTTCAAAACAATACAACTTGACATTTCAAACCAATACAACTTGATATTTCAAACCAATACAACTTGACATTTCAAACCAATACAACTTGACATTTCAAACCAATACAACTTGACATTTCAAACCAATACAACTTGACATTTCAAACAAATACAACTTGACATTTCAAACCAATACAACTTGACATTTCAAACCAATACAACTTGACATTTCAAACCAATACAACGTGACATTTCAAACCAATACAACTTGACATTTCAAAACAATACAACTTGACATTTTAAACCAATACAACTTGATATTTCAAACCAATACAACGTGACATTTCAAACCAATACAGCTTGAAATTTCAAACCAATACAACTTGACATTTCAAACAAAAACAACTTGACATTTCAAACCAATACAACTTGACATTTCAAACAAAAACAACTTGCAGAGTTTGATAAATTTGAAAAATTTTGTATTTCAATATGTATATATTGATATCGTGGCCTGCATGATCACTTTTCAAATCTTTGCGAAAAGACTCAGAATAGGTTATTATGCCATAGGCCAATGTAACATTATTATTACCTTTTATGATATGTGGGGAAGTATGTAGTCTATGTACAGCTAGTTACCCGACCCCACCAATTCTACCCCTGATTTTTCAGTTCCACTGTTACGTTTTAAAAAAGAATTGTGCAGTGGATAAAATCCCAAACTTACTCTCCATTTATTGATCTTTTATTTATTTTATTTAAATGTTTATTTTACATATTTATGGCATGGGCATGTGCTTACTGGCATTGCTACAGTAGCTAAGTATGCCTAAAGGACTCAGGATAATGGTATGTACTTAGATGGGTAGCATTGGCCTTGGCTTACCGGCCATACTACAGTAGCTAACTATGTCAAATGGACAAAATATAATGGTAGGTACTTGGATAGGTGGCTTTTCATTGCCGACACCGACACCTGCATATATCGCACCTTCCCTAGTAAGAAAAATAAATTGACCGACTCAGTGTTTCATCGAGAATTCCCGGATTTGATTGACCACTGCAACACATTGACCGGGACTTACATTGTACTAGGCGACATGAACTTCCATTTTGATCAACCACAGCACCCCTCCACTGCTAGGATGTTGGATCTCTTGGATTTATTCAGTCTTCACCAATCGGTCGACCAACCGACTCATAATCGTGGACATATTCTTGACTGGGTACTACATAGGCCTCAAGATGGTGTAGTTAGATCTACTTCAATCACACAAGAGCTGTCCTCTGACCACTTCTGTGTTATTTGTGAACTTAGTGTTAGTGCCCCCAACCCTCCCCCTCAGTTTAGGGAGGTGCGCAGTCTGCGAGCTATAAACAGGGATGCATTTAAGCATGACCTAAGCGTAGAAGTGTCCCCTGCCCTCTGCCCTACATTGGAATCACTAGACCGTGCATTGCGCGCTGTGCTTGACCGACACGCCCCTGTCACCCGCCGCAATTTTAGTCTAAAGCGGTCATCTCCCTGGTATGCGACCATCAAGGAGGAACTACGCAGTGCCAAGAAAGAGCGCCGTAGTGCAGAAAAGAAGTGGTTAAGGTCAGGTCTTGTGGTTTTTAAGCAGATATTTTACGCTGCCAAGAAGCGTGTCAATCAGATTGTTTGTCGTGCAAAGACTACGTATTTTAGCCAAAAGATAACTATGGGTAAAACCAGCAGGCAGTTGTTTGATGTTTGTGGTCACCTTAGGGGGAGTAACAAAGGAACTGCGCTTCCTTCGGTGTTTCCCCTGCCCAAGCAACCAGATATTTTCTGTAATTTCTTTACAAGCAAAGTAGCTGACATTCGAGCTGAGCTTGATCGTCTTGATGCCCCTCCCCTTGAATTGCCTCCTTTCCCTTGTCTTACTTCCCATTTTAATATTTTTAAACCTGTTTCAGAACTTGAGGTAAAAAATATAATCCTAAAATCTAAACATACGTCATGTTATTTGGATCCCATCCCAACCCCCCTGTTGGTTGAGTCATTAGATATCTTGCTCCCAACAATAACCCGCATAATAAATGAAAGCTTATATTCTGGCACTGTTCCGCCTCTTTGCAAATCAGCTGTCATCAAACCATTGCTTAAGAAGCCCGGTCTGGATGAAAATAATTTAAAAAACTATAGACCTGTATCTAACTTATCATTTTTATCTAAAGTTATTGAAAAACTAGTCCTAAAACAACTTTTTGCTTACTTAAATGATCACTCTCTTCTCAGTTCTAATCAGTCGGCCTATAGACATTTCCATAGCACGGAGACAGCTCTCTTGAGAGTCAGTAATGACCTCTTGCGCGCAATGGACAGCGGTAATGTCTCCATTTTGATCCTCTTAGACCTCAGTGCGGCCTTTGACACTGTTGACCATGAAATCCTTTTCAAAACCCTTGAAAACTACTTTGGAATTTCTGGTTCGGTTTTGGCTTGGTTTAGGTCCTACCTCTCTGATAGAACGCAAATGGTCTCTGTCGATGGCTGTCTCTCCGGCAGTGCTGATTTGGTGTACGGAGTGCCACAGGGGTCCGTTTTGGGTCCGGTTCTATTCATAATGTATACCAGACCACTACTCCTCTTGCTCGGGAGGCATGCTGTTGAGAACCAGTCATTTGCAGATGATACACAGCTATACATGCATACCCATCCATCTCTTGTCGATTCCGCTGTCCAGACTTTGCGGGGGTGCATTGATGATGTCAAGTCTTGGATGACACTCAGCAAGTTGAAGCTTAATGATGACAAAACAGAAGCACTCCTCATTTACAATCACAAATCATCCTCTACCTCAACTCTTCCCACCTCATTTCAAGTAGGTAACTCCGACATACAGTTTACACCCTCTGCTAGGAATCTTGGTTATATTCTTTCTAACAACATGTCTCTCGATAAACATATCTCTCACATTTGTCGTTCGGCATACACCGCCATCCGTCAGATCAGCTCCATCCGCCACTACCTGACAGTTAGCGCAACAAAAACTCTAGTCTGTGCTCTTGTTCTCTCTCGTCTTGACTATTGCAACTCACTTCTGTCAGGTTCACCGAAACATTTTATAGAAAAACTGCAGAAAGTTCAAAACTCTGCTGCTAGGCTTGTTCTTAAGGCAAAAAAACGCGATCACGTCACTCCACTACTCCACTCACTACATTGGCTCCCTATACAGGCACGCATTGACTACAAGCTGTCTCTTCTCTGTCACAACTTTTTCTCGGATTCCTGCCCTTCCTATCTAACTGAACTTCTTTCTGTCTATTCACCCCTTCGACAACTTCGCTCCTCCGCAGACTCGCGTATTCTGTCCGTTCCCAAGACACGCACTAAATTATATGGTGAACGATCTTTCTCTTTCTGCGCCCCCAAACAATGGAATTCTTTGCCACTACACATCCGCAATATAACAACCACACAGGCCTTCAAAACTGCACTCAAAACACATCTATTTAAACTATACTACTCTGACTGATTCTCCTCCTATAAACCGATAAACGTACATGGGTTTCCTTGTAAAAATGTCTGGTGTGGGTGGATGAATATACCTATGGTGTTGTTTTGCTTATATGTTGTTTTTATTTCATTTATGTATTTTATTTTAATATTATGATTATGCCTCTTTGCTATATATGTACAGCGCGGTGAGCCCAGCCCTAGGCCGGGGTACCGCGCTATATAAGACCACTTATTATTATTATTATTATTATGTTATGGAAACGGTACCTGGATGATTCGGTTCACAGAAACGTTAGTTTTGTGCACAGTAAAAAAAAAGTCTGATCAACCAACCAAGCAAACATGGCTCTGTTTACGTTTGTGAACAGACTGTAAATCCATTTCGTATTCAGTCAATTTAGTCAGTCGTAAATAAAACACACATTCAAAAATGGAATAAAAACAAATGCGTCTGATTCTTCAATAGTTTTAACAATGTGTTCGTTCTTCCCATTTCCAACCGACCACTTGTTTCCTATTAGGCTATTAAAATAATTTTTAAAATTTAAATGAGATATTCCTCATAAAAAAAGTAAACTGATTTTTTTGTGTTTTTTTTATTTTTTATTTTTTTTACTTTTAGCCTTAATTTCACATTTTCTCTTATTTATCATATTTAATCTTGGTTTTCAATTTCCCTTTGGTCTTATTAATGAATATTACAATTGGTTCTATAATATGTTGCTATGTAGGACGTGTTTACGTCACACTTTCCCCATGCCGTGAACGCTGTTTGACCCCAAATTAGAATGCGTTCGTATTGGGCGTGGTCTATTTCTTTTGATCTTTTTTTTACCACAAAACAATCTATCGCCTGTTAGTCTTGACTCGAATGGGATACAAAATTGTGGTAAATTTTAGAAATTTGGAGAAGATTCGAGTCACGACTACAATGTATATTCTGTCCCCGAATCTTCTTAGAAATAGTCGATACCCATATATAAAGCCGGGGTATTGAAAGATAATAATAATAAATAATAATAAAGTTCATTTCAAAAACACGCTTCATCCCCAAAGGCTCGAAGCGCGGTACAAAGTCAAAAAAAAACAAATCTATAGTTTACCACATTTAAAACAAACGCAAATCAATGGGAGCGATTGATTGATAGATATTTTTCACTTCACGAGACAAATATATTATTGTCTGTATTCATATGTGTTTATTCGCATTCATCGTTGTACGTTATTAATTGGCACAGTGTACTAACTGTGTCCCAGTACAAGACTTCTCATAATCTGTAAGTTTATGATTGTATTTATATTCCTTTTGTTTTAAATATATTAATACTTAAATGAATCTTATTAGTTGTAATTGGTACTGTTTTGAATGTCGTATTTTTGCTATTGTATTTCTCTGTGGTATCGTCCTTTGTTAGGCACTGTTTGAACGAGCCATACAATTAAAATACGGAGGGGGGGTGACGCCTATGAGTTTACCTCACAGAGTGATAACAACCATGGTGAGGTCCATGAGATTACCACGCCGAGTGACATAAACCAGAGTAACGCCCCTAAACAAGAATTGTCATTTATTTGCAAATGATTTAATTATTTTTTTTAACAAATAGAACGCTTTCTGTTATACTTAGGCTTCTTTCATATTCATTTAATTATTTGGTGACATGTTAAATGCAAAGACAGCTAAGAAAACTTCAAAAACCTTCCGAAATCACAATATTGCATTCATCCTGTCTTTGTTTCAATGGTGAAACCTCTAAAATGTTCCATTACCTTAAGAACACATTTTGTCGTAGACAAAATACATTACCACAGACTGATGGGAATAACAAATAAAATTTAAAAGAAAAGCTTTTAAACCACATTAACATTGAATGGAACAGCAACATTAATAATAAATAACTTTTACAGCAAGTCAATTGAAATAAATATAATTAGCAATACATATTTTCTACAGTAAATCAGGTGAAATAAATATAATTATCACTACAAATTTTCTACATTAAATAAAATTAAATAAATATAATTACCAATACCTAATTTCTACAGTAAATCAAGTGAAATAAATATAATTATCAATACATATTTTCTACAGTAAATCAAATTAAATAAATATAATTATCAATGCATATTTTCTACAGTAAATTATGTGAAAAAAAAAATAATTATCAATACATATTTTCGACAGTAAATCAAATTAAATAAATATAATTATCAATACATATTTTCTACAGTAAATAAACTGAAATAAATATAATTTTTATTAAGCACTCGTTGATCCCGGGTGTAAGTAATTATGGCAGTAAATTAAGTATAAATAAATAAATAAAATATTTAATTTAATTTATCAAATCCTTGGCACATTTTTTAAGTTCACTATTTTGAAAAGATTGACGTAGATAATTCACTATTCATTCATTAAATTTTGTACCACTCTAGTAACTTCTAGTGGACAAGTTGTATCTTCTCGTGGACAGTTTGTATCTTCTGGTAGGCAGTTTGTATCTTCTAGTGGGCAGTTTGCATCGAACGCGAAGGTCACTGCAGGTAGAGACTTGTAGCGAACACAATGTCACGTCTGATGGATGTCATGGCGGCCTGACATTTCACCACCAGAGTCTGGTTCCCAATGAGCTCACCGGCAGCCTTGACCCTTGCTAAGACGTCATGAAGTGTTTGAATACACTTAACAATAACGCCTTCCTGGACGTCGGTCAGTTGAGTGACCTCTGAGAAGGCCTGGAAGTTAAGTGTTAACACCATATAAGACGTCTTTTCCAATGATACATTCAATCGCATCTCCTAAAACACTAGAAGTATAATCTAGTGACGTATTTTGATTTTTTTTTTGAGCTATACTAAAAAAATACATTTTTTTTTTTAAAAATTGTCTTAATCAGAGATAAATATTGCAAAATGACTCTTTATTATTATTTTTTGTACAAAATAACATATGAAAGCATAGATTTGAATTACAAGAACTTCCACCGGAAAAAAACTAAAAGAGTTCCTTAATCTCTGCTCTGACGATCAAGCCTACAGAGTAAATAATTTAAAAGAGGCCCAAAAGAACTGTACCTTTCCTAATGCCCATTCATGTACCACTTGGGTCAAGCCAAAATGCATCTGTTTTTTCAAAAAGTCCACAGGAATCTTCATGCCGGCTTCTACCTGAGCTGATCCAACCTTTTCAACAATTTCAAGAATGCGTTGTTTTCCCTGGAAAAAAGTGTACAAAAATTCCTTCTCGTATCGTAGCTATATTAACGTCAAGCTATTTTTTTTAGAAGATTTCCCACAATTCAACACCGTGTTAGAGCTGCAGCGAGAGAGTCACGGCCCCACGCAGGCTACTTAGCGAGGGTACCAACCGGCTCAGCGAATGAAATTTCAACATCAGTGTCTGAACAGCAGTACTCACGATTTGTAAGGCGCCTTTCAGATACGGCTGCTTGCATCTGCTCGTCTCCAACACAAAGCAGCTGAGCAGGGCGGCGATTTCGGGAGGGTCAAGGTCAGTGAGCAAGTTCTCCATGATGACCTCTGTGATGAGGACCTCGTGTTGCATCATAAGGCAGGCAACTCGACCCTTAAGTTGGACCAGGTCGTCTTCGCTGATATACTTGAGCCCTTTTAATACCTTAAGATTTGGAAAAATATGTATTGGATTTTTATTCCATCAAAATAATATAATTTTTAGTACAATTTCATCTAACACTACCAACCCCCAACCCCTAAGCGACCCCCAATAACCCCCACCCCCAAAAACAAAAACAAAAAAACAACTCTACAACATTCTATTGACATTGTATTGCTGGAAATATGTGTTTTTTTGGTTTTCGTTGGTGTAAAATTTTGTATCTTTTTACATAGGCCTACCCAATGTTCATCTGTTTATATAGGCCTACCCAATGTTCATCTGTTTATATAGGCCTACCCATTGTTCATCTGTTTATATAGGGCTACCCACAGTTCATCTGTTTATATAGGGCTACCCACAGTTCATCTGTTTACATAGGCCTACCCATAGTTCATCTGTTTATATAGGCCTACCCAAAGTTCATCTGTTTATATAGGCCTACCCATAGTTCATCTGTTTATATAGGCCTACCCATAGTTCATCTGTTTATACAGGCCTACCCATAGTTCATCTGTTTATAGGCCTACCCATAGTTCATCTGTTTATATAGGCCTACCCATAGTTCATCTGTTTATACAGGCCTACCCATAGTTCATCTGTTTATATAGGCCTACCCATGGATTGACGAAGAGATCTAAAGCTGGAATATTGTACACACTTTTGTCTAAAATGTGTTTTAATCTATTAAACATTGGTGGGCCCTTGATTGACTTTCTAACGCATTAATAGCGGGACATCAGAAGCAACCTGATAAATTTTACCTTCTTCCACTCGTTTGTAAGATATGCTTGATATGTATTTAATGGAGGATTCAAGAAGATTGTAACGACCCCTGAGATATAAGCATAAACTCCTCGTATGCAAACACAAATTTCTGGTATGTAAGCACAAACTTTTGGTATGTTAGCACAAACTTCTGATATGTAAGCACAAACTTCTGGTATGTTAGCACAAACTTCTGGTATGTAAGCACAAACTTCTGGTATGTAAGCACAAACTTCTGGTATGTACCCATTCAACGTTTATATTTGATTAGATGGTACGCTAATAATAGTGTCCATTACGAAAATAACAGAACATGGGATTGTGGGTCGCTGGCCCGAGGTAGAAATCATAGAACAATTATTTATGAAAACGCTCTACAGTCTAAAGGGTCGGGAAACACTGATGCATTCCATGATCCAATAAAATGTCCATTTGAAATGTGTGTTCTATTGAGCATTGTTCATTCTTGGCATGACATAAGTTTGTGAGGACAGTTACCTGAACTCGCTGGTGGTACTCTGGGAGAAGTGCAAGGTAATCATCGGAGGCGAGGTACTGGAGTTCTTTGTGTTGTTGGCGAATGCTTACGTTTCTGTCGTGGGCGTAGAACTAAAGGGATTATAGTATTATTGAGTGATCAGGAGATTATTGAAAGATCAGAGGATTATTGAGTGATGTGAGGATTATCGAGAGAGTAGAGGATTATTAAGAGATCAGAGGACTATTGAGAGTTCCAAAGATTTTAGAGAGATCCAAGGATTATTAAGAGATCACGGGAGTATTGAGAGATCAGGGGATTATTGAGAGGATTATTGAGTGGTCAGAGATCAGAGACTGAATGAAGGACCAGAAGATTATAGAAGGATAAGACAGAGGATTATTGAAAGATCATTCTTTTAAAATAGATTTTTTTCCTAACAGCATAGCAGTAAAAGAACTATTTCATCCGTCCTAACAGCATAGCAGTAGAAGAACTATTTCATCCTTCCTTACAGCATAGCAGTAGAAGAACTATTTCATCCTGCATAACAGCATAGCAGTAGAAGAACTATTTCATCGTTCCTAACAGCATAGCAGTAGAAGAACTATTTCATCCTTCCTAACAGCATAGCAGTAGAAGAACTATTTCATCCTTCCTTACAGCATAGCAGTAGAAGAACTATTTCATCCTTCCTAACAGCATAGCAGTAGAAGAACTATTTCATCCTGCATAACAGCATAGCAGTAGAAGAACTATTTCATCGTTCCTAACAGCATAGCAGTAGAAGAACTATTTTATCTTTCCTAACAGCATAGCAGTAGAAGAACTATTTTATCCTTCCTTACAGCATTGCAGCAGAAGAACTATTTCATCCTTCCTAACAGCATAGCAGTAGAAGAACTATTTCATCCTTCCTAACAGCATAGCAGTAGAAGAACTATTTTATCCTTCCTAACAGCAAAGCAGTAGAAGAACTATTTCATCCTTCCTAACAGCATAGCAGTAGAAGAACTATTTCATCCTTCCTAACAGCATAGCAGCAGAAGAACTATTTTATCCTTCCTAACAGCATAGCAGTAGAAGAACTATTTCATCCTTCCTAACAGCATAGCAGTAGAAGAACTATTTCATCCTTCCTAACAGCATATCAGTAGAAGAACTATTTCATCCTTCCTTACAGCATAGCAGTAGAAGAACTATTTCATCCTTCCTAACAGCATAGCAGTAGAAGAACTATTTTATCCTTCCTAACAGCATAGCAGTAGAAGAACTATTTCATCCTTCCTAACAGCATAGCAGTAGAAGAACTATTTCATCCTTAAATGATATGAAGGTTGTATCAGAGCTGCATATGTGGTTTGTAGACGTTCTGGTGACAAGACAATTTTGACCAGGGGCGTCTACACAGGAGGGATAGAGGTCTCTGATCCTGACCATAATTTAGTAATTATTTATGTGGCTTATTGTCGATAATTGACGCATATGTCTCTTTCTCTTTATTTTCTCAAAAGCAACTTTATGCAATGTGAGAATCTGGATAACGGACGTCCTGGGGACGAAAGTGCTGTGTCAAGGCCTCCTTTGAGATCACATTGAAATGTAATTTTGAAGAAGTAAAAATAAAAACTAGTTTTGTTAAATTTTCCAAATGAACTTGGGCACTATGGGGTGGGTGGAAAGGGTGGATTCAGAGGAGTGGGTGGATTTGGTGGACTGGATGGAATGGGTGGAGTGGGTGGAGGGGGTAGAATGGTGAGTTTCAGGTCTGTTGCTTCTCCAGCTAAGGAAAATGTTATAGACCAAAGGCTAATGTACTTTATATTCTATCAAACCAAACATTTTTTAGACCAAGATTAATAGTCTTTATAAAATGTTTTGGAGCAAATAGTCAAAGATGAACAAAGAGTTGATACAATTAAAAACCTACTATACAAATAAAACGTTCCAATGTTATACAGGACACAGAAAATTATACAAACAATGACACCAGGGAGGTGTGGATTATTTAAACATACTGAACACAAACAATAGAGAACAAAATGGATTACATAAATAATAGAAAGAAGAGAAATGTGTTCTACGTGTTCTAGAGAGTCAGGAAGTTACGAAATGTGGGTAGACATATTACATACATGTTCTAGAGAGTCAGGACGTTAAGAAATGTTAGTAGGCATGTCACATACTTGTTCTTGGGAGTCAGAAAGTTAAGAAATGTGGGTAGACATCACATACTTGTTCTTGAGAGCACGAAAGTTAAGAAATGTTGGTAGATTTATCTCGAACGGGTTCTCGAGAGTCGGGGAGTTAAGAAATCTGGTAGACATATCACATACGTGTTCTAGACAGTCAGAAAGTTAAGAATTGTGGGTAGACATCACATGCTTGTTCTCGAGGGTCAGGAAGTTAAGAAATGTGGATAGATGTATCACATACGTGTTCTCGAAAGTCAGGGCATCGCCGGCAGTCATACGTTTGAGTTAAGCTGTCGAAGAGGAATTTGATGGCCCGCCATTTCTCGATCACTTCTGTGTCGCATATGTTCAGATCTTTGCTGGGGTCGTACCCACTAAGCCCCGAGGGGTGCTTCAGGCTGAGCGCATGCAGGTCTTTGATAAGGTCAACGACAACACCACTTAGCTTTCTGACATAATATAAATGAATAAATAGATATGTAAAACAATACATCCAAAATCAACATGTGCTGCAACTGATGTGCCCACCATTTACCACTGTCACCCACGACTGACTTCTCCCCAGTTTAGAATCCCTACTCCAACTCTTCCACATTAGTGTAGGTATTAATGTGTTAAGTGTTATCGAAAGAGCTGAAAGTTTTTCTCAGACCAACTGTTGGAGTCCTGGTATAGCAAACCCCATGTTTGTTTACGCCGATCCTATCACAAAGCCGAATTATCAATAAAATTATCGTAACGCTGTAACTTGTTGGTCATGACAGTGGTGGAAGGCATGAGAGAATGGGGAGGGATGGGAGGCATTAGAGAATGGGGAGAGATGGGAGGCATTAGAGAATGGGGAGGTATGGGAGGCATTAGAGAATGGGGAGAGATGGGAGGCATGAGAGAATGGGGAGAGATGGGAGGCATGAGAGAATGGGGATGGGTGGAAGGCATGAGAGAATGGGGAGGGGTGGAAGGCATGAGAGAAGGGGGAGGGGTGGAAGGCATGAGAGAATGGGGAGGGGTGGAAGGCATGCGAGAATGGGGAGGGATGGAAGGCATGAGAGAATGGAGAGGGGTGGAAGGCATGAGAGAATAGGTAGGGATGGAAGGCATGAGAGAATGGGGAGGGATGAGAGAATGGGGAGGGGTGGAAGGCATGAGAGAATGGGGAGGGGTGGAAGGCATGAGAGAATGAGGATGGGATGGAAGGCATGAGAGAATGGGGAGGGGTAGAAGGCATGAGAGAATGAGGATGGGTGGAAGGCATGAGAGAATGGGGAGGTGTGGAAGGCATAAGAGAATGGGAAGTGATATGAGGCATTAGAGGTTTGGGAGGTATGTGAGGCATGAGAGAATGGGGAGGTATGTATGGCATTAGAGAATGGGGAGGTATATGAGGCATGAGAGAATGGGGAGATATGTGAGGCATGAGAGAATGGGGAGGGATGGAAGGCATGAGAGAATGGGGTGGTATGTGGGGCATGGGAGAATGGGGTGGTATGTGAGGCATTAGAGAATGGGGAGGTATGTGAGGCATTAGAGAATGGGGAGGGATGGAAGGCATGAGAGAATGGGAAGGGATGGAAGGCATGAGATAATGGGGAGGGATGGAAGGCATGTGAGAATGGGGAGGGGTGGAGGCATGAGAGAATGGGGAGGGATGGGAGGCATGAGAGAATGGGGAGGGATGGAAGGCATGAGAGAATGCGGAGGGATGGGAGGCATGAGAGAATGGGGAGGGATGGAAGGCATGAGAGAATGGGGAGGGATGGAAGGCATGAGAGAATGGGGAGGGATGGAAGGCATGAGAGAATGGGGAGGGATGGAAGGCATGAGAGAATGGGGAGGGATGGAAGGCATGAGAGAATGGGGAGGGATGGAAGGCATGAGAGAATGGGGAGGGATGGAAGGCATGAGAGAATGGGGAGGGATGGAAGGCATGAGAGAATGGGGAGGGATGGAAGGCATGAGAGAATGGGGAGGGATGGAAGGCATGAGAGAATGGGGAGGGATGGAAGGCATGAGAGAATGGGGAGGGATGGGAGGCATGAGAGAATGGGGAGGGATGGGAGGCATGAGAGAATGGGGAGGGATGGGAGGCATGAGAGAATGGGGAGGGATGGGAGGCATGAGAGAATGGGGAGGGATGGGAGGCATGAGAGAATGGGGAGGGATGGGAGGCATGAGAGAATGGGGAGGGATGGGAGGCATGAGAGAATGGGGAGGGATGGGAGGCATGAGAGAATGGGGAGGGATGGGAGGCATGAGAGAATGGGGAGGGATGGGAGGCATGAGAGAATGGGGAGGGATGGGAGGCATGAGAGAATGGGGAGGGATGGGAGGCATGAGAGAATGGGGAGGGATGGAAGGCATGAGAGAATGGGGTGGTATGTGGGGCATGAGAGAATTGGGAGGGATGGAAGGCATGAGAGAATGGGGAGGGATGGGAGGCATGAGAGAATGGGGAGGGATGAAAGGCATGAGAGAATGGGGAGGTATGGGAGGCATGAGAGAATGGGGAGGGATGGGAGGCATGAGAGAATGGGGAGGGATGAGAGGCATGAGAGAATGGGGAGGGATGGGAGGCATGAGAGAATGGGGAGGGATGGGAGGCATGAGAGAATGGGGAGGTATGAAAGGCATGAGAGAATGGGGAGGTATGGGAGGCATGAGAGAATGGGGAGGGATGGGAGGCATGAGAGAATGGGGAGGGATGAAAGGCATGAGAGAATGGGGAGGGATGGGAGGCATGAGAGAATGGGGAGGGATGGGAGGCATGAGAGAATGGGGAGGGATGGGAGGCATGAGAGAATGGGGAGGTATGTGAGGCATTAGAGAATGGGGAGGTTTGTGAGGCATGAGATAATGGGGAGGTATGTGAGGCATGAGAGAATGGGGAGGTATGTGAGGCATGAGAGAATGGGGAGGTATTGGAGGCAAGAGAGAGATGACATGTTTGGGAATGAGGGGGGTTGATAGAGATGAGAGCATTTGTAGGGAAGATAGAGTTCAGAGGCAAGGGAAAGCAATTGTCAAAGTTAAATCTATCCAAATAAGGCCGTCGGTGTTAAAGATGTCATTGGCAAAGATGTCATTGTTAAGGATGTCATTGTTCAAGATGTCATGTTTTGAAATGTCATTGGTAAAGATGTCATTGTTAAAGATGTCATTTTTAAAGATGTCATTGGTAAAGATGTCATGGTTCAAAATGTCATTGTTAAAGAAGTCATTGTTAAAGATTTCATTTTTAAAGATGACATTGTAAAGATGTCATTGTTAAGATGTCATTGTTAAAGATCTCATGGTTCAAGATGTCATTGTTAAAGATGTTATTGTTAAAAATGTCATTGTTAAAGAAGTCATTTTTTCAAGATTCATTGTTAAGATGTCATTATTTAAGATATCATTGTTAAGATGTCATTGTTAAAGATGTCATTGTTAAAGATGTCATTGTTAAAGATGTCATTGTTCAAGATGTCATTGTTCAAGATGTCATTGTTAAAATTATCATTGTTTAAGATGTGATTGTTAAAGATGTCATTGGTAAAGTTGTCATTGGTTAAGATGTCAATGTTAAAGATGTCATTGTTCAAGATGTCATTGTTCAAGATGACATGGTTCAAGATATCATGGTTCAAGATGTCATTGTTCAAGATGTCATGGTTCAATATGTCATTGGTAAAGATGGCATTGTTCAAGATGTCATTGTTAAAGATTTCATTGTTAAAGATGTCATTGTTAAAGATCTCATGGTTCAAGATGTCATTGTTAAAGATGTCAGTGTTAAAGATGTCATTGTTAAAGATGCCATAGTTCAAGATGTCATTGTTAAAGATGTCATTGCTCAAGATGTCATTGTTAAAGATTTCATTGTTAAAGATGTCATTGTTCAAGATGTCACTGTTAAAGATGTTAGCCAAATTCAATTTTTCTAGCTTGACGGGAATGTAGCAAAAATGGATTCTTAAAGATGTTAAAAAAAGTTAGAAAAGACTAATATGATAAATAATAAATTATCATGATCTATAAATTATGAGTTCATACTTCAGATCTCACACGGAAAACTTAAACAAAATTATTGATGCAAAGTCTGTCTAGGAAGTACCTGTTTGAAATGTACTTTATATCATTTGCCATCTACCGTACATTGTTTTTTGAAGGTACTTTAAATTCTTTTTTATCTACAGCACCTGCTTGACTTTAAGGTATTTTACATTCTTTTGATATAGAGAATATTGTTGTCTTTATGGTACTTTACAGTCTTTGGATTTGGAGAATATTGTTATCTTTAAGGTACTTTAAATTATTTTGGATCTATAGTACATAGCAGTCTTGAAAGGGATTTTGTCTTTGAACTGGATGAACTGATCAAAAAGATGCAACACTACCCGACTAATATTCTAATAGATTCAACTAACAGAGGTGAGGCAGACAATAAACTATCTCTTAAAGTCTCATCGGGTAGGTAAAGTTGTGCAAACCTATTTGAATGAAATATTATGAGACATATCAACACAACAATACTTTTACAAACATGCAATGATAATCTGCCTCATGAGACATATCAACACAACAATACTATTACAAACATGCAATGATAATCTGCCTCATGAGACACATCAACACAACAACACTTTGACAAACATGCAATGATAATCTGCCTCATGAGACACATCAACACAACAACACTTTTACAAACATCCAATGATAATCTGCCTCATGAGACACATCAACACAACAACACTTTTACAAACATGCAATGATAATCTGCCTCATGAGACACATCAACACAACAACACTTTTACAAACATGCAATGATAATCTGCCTCATGAGACACATCAACACAACAACACTTTTACAAACATGCAATGATAATCTGTCTCACGAACTTTTTATTTCTGAGTTTCCCATCCAATCCTTCCAGCAAAAACTGTGTGTCAACATTGTGCACGATACGTGAGATTCCAAGAACATATTTGGTTGAAAGGTTGACCACCTCGAACCACGGGTTCTTTGGACCTAACAGGTGGATCTGCTCGACCGGGTGAACACCTGGAACATTCATAAAATATATATATATATTTGAGGGAATGTTACCCTTATAATTAAAAAAAAACACATACTAGTATGTGAAATGAATTTTAAATTTGAGATGGCTGAAACATCACTACACATCTGAGCACTTTTCCTCACGACATGGCTCAAATATCGGTACATTTTACTTACCCATTTCTCCCGTATCTGGCTGTTGAAGTCGATCAGTCAAGACAAAAGTTTTAAACATTTTCTCGTTTTCGTCTGTCACATATGTTGCCAGGAGGACCCCAAGGGACACTTGATTCTGTGGTCTTCTGACCATGAGGATGCGACCAGAGTGCATGTCTTGCACACCCCTTGGGTGACTCAATATCACAGACTGTCAATACAACCATGACATCAAAATAAGTGCAATAAATACAGAACAAAATGAAAGTTATGATGAAATCTTGTTGAGAACTGAACTCCCCCCCCCCCGGTCTTAAACCAGTTAACTAAAGAATACGTTGATTTCTTTTGGGTTGATTATAAACCATAAAGAATTATAGTTGAATCGTAACTTATTTAACTTAGGTTATCTTTATCTACACGTTTTAAAATAAATTATTTCTTTTTTTCTTTGGGAGCAAAAAAAAGTTGTCTCTATATATTTTGCTTATCACAACATATTGGTTATTGCTCATTTTTATTTCATTGTTTGGTCTAAAGTTACGATGCTGAAAAGCATTGGCGTCTGAACTTTTTCTTTATATGGAGGGGCAGAAGGAGGGGCAACATTTTTGGATTAAAGCGTAGGTTATTTTCGTGGAAGGGGTGAGAACAATATTGTCCTCCCCCCACCCCACCCCCGGGTGGCACTAACCCTTGCTACGCCCCTGCTGAATAAGGCGTGTTGATTCGAAGGCGTCAATGGTTAAATTACAAGAGCACCAATTTATACGCACATGAACTAAATAACTATTATGCAAACAGTCGAATGACCTGCATGTATTCTTGCAATCTGTAATACTCCACACAGTCGGAGTGGTACTGAGCCAGGTCAATGTTACACAGGAAGCAGTGGATCTCTCTGACGTCCTCCAGCTGCGTCTTGACGTGCTCAAGACTCTTGGCCACTGTCTTCTTGGTGTGGAACTCTGAGAAACTTCTCTTCATCATGTCGTGGACTTTCAGCTGTTCTACCCTCATCAGTTGGAGTATCATGGAGTACGTCAGCCGGAACCTGGATTCCAGGGGCGTTGGCTTACCCTAGTAAAGAATTGGGAGGATCTAAACCTAAAGATCACTCTTCAATATTTTCACTGCAAATAAACCCTTTCTTTTAAGGCAAGAATGACACTTGAGTGGCAATGCCAGTGATGTGTTGTTGTTACAAGGAAATAAAAGGTGTCATTGTGGCTGTGGTCGGGTGGTTTAAAAAACAAAAAACTGAGTCGTGGTTTGCTAAATACACATTTTCGAAACAAGTCATCGTAATTTTAAAATATAACGATGTTTTTAAAACAGAAATGGCACCCCTGTCCCCCTTTTTTTTTTTCTTTTTTGCCATACGGATATGGCCTGCCGTTATTGTCAATGGCTGTATACACCCAGCTGAGTTTCACTCTGGGCATACATGTATGTAGTGGCAGAGACCTGCTTTTTTATGTGATGATCGATATTAAAACTAAATATCGCCACAGCTAGGTGCTACATATTTGTTTATAGATAAAGTAACAGCTAGGGGCTCAATTATAATGTTGTTAGATGATAAGTGACGTAAGAAATAAGGGTTAAAGGATAGCGTTGATGGATGATGAATGGCGTAACAAAAAGGAGCTAAATTATAATGTTGATATGTTCTGTAAGACGTAACTGCTCGGCGCATAGAATTTTAAAGATGTTTTTTTTTAAATTGTTATGATGTTCATACAGGTGGACAAAATTTTTTTCTTTGGTAACATAAAAGTTTTTTTCCATCTTTGCATGTCTCTTATCATGGTTTAAGTCATGCCATCAGGTCAGTTACATTATAAAATATATTAATGATCGGATTTAATATTTACCAGGGCCATCCTGTGCAGTTGCCCAACGTCGGGCACCTCGCCGTTGCACAGCACTATGACGGTGCCCGTGGTGTCATGCCCCCGGCGCCCGGCCCGCCCCGCCATCTGAGTGTACTCCCCTGGATGGACCGGACGGAATGCCTTCCCGTCGTGCTTGATGACACTGTCAAAGACCACCGTCTTGGCCGGCATATTGACGCCCATAGCAAACGTCTCGGTGGCCAACAGAACCTACACGGCATACAAGGTACAAGCAATCCATTGTCATCATTGGAACATCATTGGAACATCATTGGCACATCATTAGAACATCATTTGAACATCAGTTCAACTCAAGTTAGTTAACGTGAGACACCCCTACATAAACTAGTGCTACATCCTCAACTGCTACATCTGCTAGTGCTACATCCACTAGGGCTACATCCGCTAGTGCTACATTTACTAGTGCTACATCGCCTAGTGTTACATCCACTACGGCTACATCCTCAAGTAATACATCTGCTAGTGCTACATCCACTAGGGCTACATCCGCTAGTGCTACCTCCTCAAGTGCTACATCTGCTAGTGCTACACCCACTAGGGCTACATCCACTAGTGCTACATCCTCAAGTGATACATCTGCTAGTGCTACACCGACTAGAGCTACACCCGCTAGTGCTACATTCCTTAGTGCTACATGCAATAGTGCTACATTCACTAGTGATACATCAACTAGGGCTACATCAACTAGCCACGCACCTTGATCAAGCCTCTCTGAAACAGTATCTCTATCATCTCTTTAAAGATGGGCAGTATGCCAGAATGGTGCACGCCAAAGCCTCGGTGTAATAGACCTGTGAGCTTGTGGACCTGGACAGAAATTTATAATATGTATAAATATATATACACATTAATAACAGTGAACAATACGAATAAATTTTACAAGGTATCTAGTGACAGATAATTGAAATATCCAGAGGATTTTCTTTGAAGGCGATAGCCCTTGTTTTACTTTCGATGTTAAAAAAAGATTGGTATGGAGACTAGAGAAGAGAATAGATAGTAGACATTGAAAGGCAGTCTATTAACAAGAGTAGAGACGAGAGTTAAGCACAGAAAGTGTTGCTCGTGACAAAAGAAGAGACTAGACATTACCCACAAAAAAGGGAGTCTCATAACAGGAGTAATGACTAGACAGTAAGTACAGAAAGGAAGTCTCATGACAGGAGTAGAGACTAGGCAGTAAGCACAGAAATGGAGCCGCATGACAGGAGTATTGACTAGACAGTAAGCACAGAAATGGAGCCGCATGACAGGAGTATTGACTAGACAGTAAGCACAGAAATGGAGCCGCATGACAGGAGTATTGACAAGACAGTAAGCACAGCAATGGAGTCGCATGACAAGAGTAGAGACTAGACAGTAAGCACAGACAGGGAGTCTCATGACAGGAGTAGAGACTAAACAGTAATCTCAGAAAGGGAGTCTCATAACATGAGTAGAGACTAGACAGTAGGCACGGAAAGGTATGCTTAATGTAGATTTTTATTTTTTATCTCTTGAGCTCGTCAGTCTCTGAGCCATTTTATTCCAAACTTTCATGAAGGATGAGTTGTGTTACCTGCGGGAGTTCCCGATCCTTGGCATGCAACTTAGCCACACACTTGTCAACAAACATCTGTATTTGGTGTTGTTCGGAATGTGACGTCAGACAAAGATCTTTGCCGTATTTACAGATGACGTCAATTTTTTTCTTGGAAAAGATGAAGGCCACCGCTGGAAGCCTGTTTTCTTTCTGCATCATATCGATGACAGACTTCCATATTTTTCTGTCCTGTTTTGAGATTTATTAAATGTTGTAAAAGTGTTTAGTCCAATAGTGACTTAAATTAACAATAAACAAACAACTTTAATTGCAACATCATAGCCAATACCCTATACCAGGCCTGTACAACATACGGCCCGCAAGGTAGCGAAATATTCTTTATTTTTATTATTTTCTTAATAGCTTACCTTCTTGTCCTATTTTATTTTGGCCCGCACAAGTTTTTGGTCCACCTTGCATTTTGAGTTATACAATACCCTTTAAAATACAATATAACATACCCTATTTAATTCCCAACACAATACTCCATTATAAATCCCCGATAAAGTTTGACAAAACCTTGGATTTTGAGGACTTTTACGAAAGACCGCTCTCCTGAACAGGCTTGAAATGGCTGAGTTGTTTCATGCACCAGATTTGAGCTTTGAATGTCCAACTTTTGATTGCGACTTTTCCAATCGTTCATCAATAAAATTGTGATCTTTTGAAGAATTTCAATTTTTTTTTTTTAATGTTGGCATCCATCTTTCTTAAAATTGTTTAGATTTTAGATGAATGTATAGAGTAAAATAATAGAACATTTGGGTACCTGTGTTTTGTAGCTGACAGCATCTTTCCCTTTCAATGTATCTCTGGCCTTGTCGTATCTTAAAACAGAAAGGAAACGAGAAGGTTGCGTAGCAGAGACCAGATAATTGCACAATTGTATGATTCTAATAACAGAACGGGAACAAGAAGTTTGCGTAAGAGTAACCAGAAAAAAGTGCATTTGTGAAATTCTGATAACGGATAGGAGATGGTAAATTTGTGTCAGAGTGATCAGATAATACTACAATTGTATGGTTCTAATTGCAGACAAGCAAACCTAGTACACTGGGTCTGTAAGTTCATTATTAGAAGAGGGGGGGGGGGAAGGTTTTAACAGCGGTGCACTTGTCTAAATATAGAATCTTGGCATTTGGTTTTAAATGATAAATTTGTCACGTCTTAAATGTCAGCTTATCGGAACTTTTGCCTTTTCTGATATATAGTGACCTTTAAGTGACTCACCCTTGTTCAATAAACCTGCTCTCCTCGTCTATAAACAAAAACAGCCCGTTGGGCACTCTGGCTGTTGTGACACCTGTGTACAGGAAGTGCTGAAGTGGCACAGGTCGTTCTGGAGTAGTTATCACAAAAACCTGTTTCCTTTTGATCCGCCTGTTCACATGGATTAAGAAAGGAGATTGGTTGAGATTTTTGTCATTACAAAATGTCATTTGTCAACAATTGGTGTTGGAATCATTCCTACTAGAGCTTAACTAGTCGCAGACATTTTACTCCGGGTCTGGTTTTTTTTTTTTTAATACCCTGTGGGTCCAAGAATCAAACAACAAAAATTAACATCTCATTTTCTACATTACGCAACGAAATCTACTGTCATGTTTCGTAGTGAGAGTGCATTGCCTTTGTCAACTGTTTTTGTCAAGAAATAACCCAATGATCGGAACAGGTCAGTGGCCGGATCCCGGGACAGAGATGACGCTGTACGAAACCCCGTCGACAGAGAAGACACTGACGTTCATTTTATTACAAAGATTTAGGAAACAACAGTCGCAGTATAACGAAAACAGCAATACCTTCCTGTACCAGGACGGACTATACATGCCAAAAGTTAAAAGGTGGCCGTCTGTGTGATGTGCAGTCCCAGAACAAAGATGGGGAAAAAAAGTGACATTAAAAAAATCGTTTTCTAAAGAAATATAAAAGACCATTTCACCAGACTTTTGAGGCTACGCATGAAGTTCAGTGGGACAAAGTATAACAACATCGAAAAATAGTCGCCTCCCCTTAAATTAAAAAACAAAAAAACTATTTACCGGAGTTCCAACGCATGTAGCTGGCTGCGGAAAGCCTTTTTTCACCGATTACTTTAATATAAAACAGGTGGAGTTGTGGTTGGGGGGGGGTGGTTTAAAGAGGAAGCAGGACACACCAGAAGCTAGTTCAAATATTTAGAATTTGATGCAAAATGTTGATGTCATCTTCTATTATATTCTTTTAAGGACTTGAATAAATGACCCGATGTTATCAGGGTAATAATGTTCAATCCTTTGCGATAATTTCTAACTGCTATTGCAAAAACTCATCCCAATTCATAACTTTAAAAATGTAATGATATTTACGTTTCTAACATCATTACTTTTTGAGAAGTGTTTATCTGTTATACATGATACGCGTACCCTACACCCTTTCACGCTCCTAAACTACTTTCCCCCCTCTAAACGTGACCTTAAATTACTCAGTCTAAATTATCACTAATTATATCACTTTTGTCACTAAAGAAGTTAATTGAGGGACCATAACTACGCTAGAGAACTACTTTAGATTTACCCCTTTTTGTGCCCTTGAATTAGAACTTTTTTGTCTCAAAATTTTTAAAAAACTTATCTTAAATTTACAACAAAACTCTATACATGATATAAATATATTTTGTATTAAAGCAATACGATATATATTGTTATCTTCATAAAAAAAATTAAACACATTTTCCCTTTTTTTAAATTATACAATATCAGAGAATCGTAAAACAAAGAATTATTTTATCTAAGAAGAATCTCGCAACTATTTTTCCCGCCTATATCAGATTTGACTGTCTTTTTAAAAAAAATTCATCTCATAAAAGTACAAACTTCTTTACTTTTTTCAAAGTAACAAAAAATATATATTTTCGTGTTTTTTTTAAAAAGAAAATATTAACTAATCTGCATTTGTCAAAATTTAATTTTCAAGTGTGTAAAATGATTGGATTTTGATATTCATGAATATACTTATATAAATATACCAAAGATTTGTTAACGCCAGTGATTTTCTTCATTGGTAAACATATGTTTATTTGTAAAAGGTGAATTTAACATCTCTTTTGTCACAAATGTAATACCATAGGATTTAAATATATTGTCATCCACATAAAAATGTACACATCCTATTTCCTACCTCCAATATGAATGTACCCAAGAAGGTTAATTATTGATCAAATTCATTCCTTTATTTTGAGACGTATCTTGTGCTGCATGGGGCAAAGTGACCAACCCCTCCCCCACCCAGATTTAAATAAATTTAGAAAATCTTCCACCGGATTGTAGTCCCTTCCATAAACAAACTAAAATATTTTGCAATTCATATGGTTCGTTCTTTTTTTGTATGAGGTATACGTGGATTAGTGAATGCTACTTAGCTATGGAGTTTCGCTGCATAGATATACTAAAACCGCATTGACTACAAGTTGTCTGTTCTCTGTCTCAACTTTTTTTTCGAATTCCTGCCCTTCCTATCTAACCGAGCTTCTTTCTGTCTATTCACCCCTTCGACAGCTTCGCTCCCCCGCAGACACGCGTATTCTGTCCGTTCCCAAGACGCACACTAAAACATATGGTGAACGATCTTTCTCTTTCTGCGCCCCCAAACAATGGAATTCTTTGCCACTAAACATACGCAATATACCAACCACCCAGGCCTTCAAAACTGCACTCAAAACACATCTTTTTAAACTATACTACCCTGACTGATTCCCCTCCTCTGACCGATAAACGATCCTGCTGGCTGCCGTCCATGGTTTGGCTTGTAAAAGTTCTGGGGTGGGGTGGGTGAATATACATTTGCTTGGGTTGTTTTGGTTACAGGCATGATTATGTCTCTTTTGATAATATTTGTATGTACAGCGCGGTGAGTCCAGCCCTAGCCTGGGGTACCGCGCTATGTAAGACCGCTAATTATTATTATTAGAATTATATTTAAAGGTTAGGTTTTATTGCCTTATAAATTTAATAAAAGTATATTTTTGGAATCAAAAAAGGCAAAACTTTTTAAATGTAAAAATATACAAAGCAAAAATAGGTGTGTTTTTTATTAACAATTTAAAAAGCAATCAATTGTATTTATTGATTTACTTTTAAGAAGGGGAAATACATTATCAGTTTCGTCACGATCGGTTATTAAAATTAAAGAATCCTTAGAGTTTTGGTGAGATAGGCTATTCGCGCTATGACGTCATTTGCATGATTATTGAGAACAAATTAATTTTAATTTTATTTCGCCATATTAAGAACGCACAAAAAGACGCACTAAAAACGACTGATGTTTTGGTTTTCCGGATAAATGTGATTACGGTGTAATTCTTTGATCTTGATTTTTTAAAAATGTTTTCATAATTTTCAAACACATATAAAATGCATAAAATAGTTCCTTAGTTGATACTTTAAATGAATTGGTAATTTATAATAATAATACTTTACATTTTAATAAAAATAAAAGCGGATTTAAAATATTTTTGCGCATTTGAATTTATTCGATTTCCGTAAAATAATAGAAAATAACTATGATTGTCTTTAGGAATCCGAACGTACTTAAATCATATAGCAACTTTGGTGTTATGTCACTGTAGCTCATTCTTATATATTGTCAAATTTATTACTTGAAATAGCCCATATCTGGAATCACAACTTACAACTTGAATATATAAGCGTATGCTCGGACAAAAACATTTTGAAATTCTGAAATCAAACCTTCTGAATCCATGCCAGCCAGAAATGATTTAATCAGTGCAATCACTTCATTGAAATGAAGCTGTCTTTTTAGAACAAAATAATAACAGTTTACGCCACCCACTTAAACTACTTCGACCTACTTAACATAACCCCACCCACTCAACCTAACTCCACCCACTCAGCCTAACTCCACCCACTCAACTACTTTGACCTACTTAACATAACCCCATCCACTCAGCTTAACGCCACCCACTCAACCTAATTCGACCTACTTAACCTAACCCCCCCCCCCAATCTCAACCTAACCCCACCCATTCAGCTTAACTCCACCCACTTAACCTAATTCGACCTACTTAACTTAACCCCACCCACTCAGCCTAACTCCAACCACTAACCCTAAATGCTCTCACTAAACGTAACTCTACTCTCGCCACCTCACCCACTCACTCCACCTTATCCAACCCACTTCACCTAACATCACCCACTCCTCCTTACCCCACCCACTTCACCTTACCCTACAAACTCCACCTAACATCACCCAGTCCACTTTACCCCACCCACTCCTCCTTACCCCACCCATTCCACCTTACCCCACCAACTCCATCTAACATCACCCAGTCCACCTTACCCCACCCACTCCTCCTTACCCCACCCACTCCACCTTACCCCACCAACTCCACCTAACACCACCCACCCCCCCTCACCCCACCCCCTCCCCCCCCCCCCACCCCCTCCTCCCTCCCCCCCTCCCCCCGCCCCACCCCCCCCCCCCCCCCCCCCCCCTCATCTAACATCACCCAGTCCACCTTACCCCACCCACTCCTCCTTACCCCACCCACTCCACCTTACCCCACCAACTCCACCTAACATCACCCATTCCACCTTACCCCACCCACTCCTTCTTACCCCACCATCTCCTCCTTACCTCACTCACTCCTCCTTACCCCACCCACTCCTCCTTACCCCACCCACTCCTCCTTACCCCACCCACTCCTCCTTACCCACCCACTTCGCCTTACCCCACCCACTCCGCCAACTCCATCGTATTGGGCACTGTGGCACTCAGCATCACGATCTTGACACTGTCGGGGAGCATGATGAGCACTTCCTCCCAGACTACGCCCCTGTCAGTGTCATTGATGTAGTGTACCTCGTCTATGATGACCCACTCCAGCTCACGGATCATGTCAGAACCTTCATACAGCATGGTCCTAGCGAGACACGAATACGACACTATTGTTAGGTCAGGCTAAACTCAATATTTTGCAATAGGTGTATCAGCATGTAAACTATAACATAATGACATAACATAATAATATAACGCATTTAGGTTAAAACAAATAACTTTTATTTTGAAATTGTTATTTTTCAATTTCTCTAGACAATGTTCTTTATAATTTATTTGTCATTTATTGTGATGTTACATTTATTGTGATGTTGCATTTGTTGTGATGTTACATTTATTGTGATGTTACATTTATTGTGATGTTACATTTATTGTGATGTTACATTTATTGTGATGTTGCATTTGGTGTGATGTTACATTTATTGTGATGTTACATTTATTGTGATGTTACATTTATTGTGATGTTACATTTATTGTGATGTTATATTTGTTGTGATGTTACAATTGTTGTGATGTTACATTTGTTGTGATGTTACATTTATTGTGATGTTACATTTATTGTGATGTTACATTTGTTGTGATGTTACATTTACTGTGATGTTACATTTATTGTGATGTTACATTTATTGTGATGTTACATTTGTTGTGATGTTACATTTATTGTGATGTTACATTTGTTGTGATGTTACTTTTTACTTCCAATACCTACACGTTTTTAAAAGTTAATGATTTTATTACCAAATGTAGACAGGTACAAAATGGTCACATTCATTCCTTTATTTGTATAATAACATTATTTGATATGCTTTTGAAAATATCTTATAATCGTCAGTATCTGAAGAAAAGTCAGTGGTTGACGAATGGTCAGTAACTAAATAACTCAGTAGTTGACCAATAGCGAGTACTTGAACAATAGTCACTAGATGACAGTGCCAGCCGTTAGGAAATAATTTCCCACTTACTAAATCGGACTTGAGATTGTGTATAATCCTATAACAAATGATTTCCAACTTCGGACATGAGATTGAGTAGGACTCTAGTGACCGCCACTCACCTGAGAATTTCCGTGGTCACTATGAGACAAGACGCCGTCTCGTTGATCTGAATGTCACCTGTCATCAAACCAACGTCATCAAATGTCATCTTCAACTCTCTGTACTTCTGGTTGGACAAGGCCTTCACGGGTGATGTGTACATCGTCCTGTTCAAATAAAAATCATTAAAATATCTCACCAAACACAATTGGAACGTATAATGACTTGTCGTTTAGCCTGTTTCACTATTGAACGTATAATGACTTGTCGTTTAGCCTGTTTCACTAAGATGATATTTTATGGGTATGTTTTATGAATGGGCCAAAGATGTGCCAGCGTCTATTAATTTATTTTTAGCTGTCTGAAATTTTTGTTCCCAAAGTGAGAGTCAGTTTCCTGATGATGTAGTAATTAGCTACCATTTTTTATATGACAATAACTCCGATCAGTAACATGTAAACCAATGGGAAAGACTTGCGTCATAGGCAGTCGACTGACGGCTGATTTTAACAAAAGAAAATATAACAATATGTTACCATCTCCTGGAGCAACATGAGCGCTATGGTAAAGTTTGATTATGACATATCCTTTAAAAAATAGCTTAAATGTTTTGTTATAACATATTTTGCTGCTACTTCCTGTGCACCAACATACCATTTATGTAGTAGGGCATCTAGACATATTAGCACATAGAATTTATTTTCATTCCATGGCGACCACATGCAATTCTTTTTCCTATTTTTGTAACATCGTTGAGGGCGCCCTAAGCACATGCGCCCCGGGGCGACTGCCCGAGTTGCCAGTAACTTGAGCCGGCTCTCGCTACACCGAAAAGTTGGTCTGATAATGAAGTCAAAATACTACGTCGGTATCAAATATAGAACCGTTACTCTCCTGTCCAATAGTGATAAAGTCTGACGTACCTTGTCATGTGACGCATAGACAGGGCGATGGCGTACTCTGCGATGACTGTCTTCCCAGCAGACGTGTGTGCGGCCACAAAGACACTCTCGTTGCTCTCTAGCCTGAGGATGGCTTGCTTCTGGAACGTGTCCAGCTCAAATGGCCACTGGAAGTTGGCAAAGAATGTCACATGACAAAAGCTAGAATTAGCTTACCGATAAATGGAGCAGGAATTATGTATTTCTTTAATGAACGCATTAATAGAATAAAATGATATTTAAACAGTTCAGAGGAATACATTTTCAAAGATGAAGATTAAGGTGACATGCAAATTAAACAGACAAGAGAATCAGCAATGACGAAAGCTGAATTGTGTTTAAAGAAGAGGCTAAATGAACAGAAGTGAAAATAAATTTTTAAAAATTTTAAAGAAAGAATTTTAAAAGATGAGTATTATCAAAATTAAGCTAAGATTACTTTTTGTAACAGATTTTTTTTTTATTATCTCCCATTTGAACATATCTGTGGGACGTAGTTTAGCTCTATCAAAGCAAGAAAGAGAGCAAGGACAGTAACTCGTTGTTATCATTATCTCTATGATATCTACCTTAAAAGCCATGTCTGGGATTCTGTCATGAAACTCATGCACCGACTCACTGACATCCACCGAAAAAGCCCATTGTTCAGGTCGTGATGGCAGTCGCTCTACTGGTCTTCCCCCTGACCTATGGGTCGTGTCTGCCGTCTCATCACGGGTCCTCTGTTCATCGGTGGTCAGTGTAGGATCGGGTGCGGGGTCATCTGCTTGTTCCAAACGGTCGTCCTGTTGTTATGATTCCAATGTTAAAATCCTTCCTTAATTTGCTCCACTTCATTTTCATAAACAAGCATACGCCAAGTTTTCCGTCCATTTCCTTAATTTTCTTATGGATTTAATGATTGCTTTTTCAAAAGATAACAACGTCTTAGGTAACATAACTGAGAACATGTTGGTTTTTTTTTTTAATTTTTAGTAAGAATCATGATCCATGTAAATCTTGGACTAAATGAATTCTGTTTGTTTGAAATTTCTTTTGAGTGTTATTACTTTCTTCTCAAAAGAAAGAACACACTCTTTCAAAAGATGTTAGGTCAGTAAAATAAGACCATGTTATGCTAAGAGCACTAAGGGAAAAATTAGCTAGTCTTCCACGGGAGACAACCAATATGGGAGAGGAGATCAAGCCAACTAGGTCTGAAGGTAGCAGACGACTATTCACGGATTTAATAATTGGCTGTGATATCAACAAAAAAAATTTTTTTTAATAATGTTGCTTTATAAGGAAAAGAAATGTTTACCTGAAGCAGCTCGTCCAGGTCAGTTTCTCCGGTCAACATTTGGACATGGGTTGACAAGATCTGAAGGGTTTATTTACGTTAAAAAAACACAATGTTTTATTTATATTATAATAAAAAAAATGTTTAATTTACATTACAATGTACAATCTTTTCTTTACCATATAATACATATAGTTTTATTTGCCATGTAATAGTGAATGACTTTTTTGATGACGGCTCATACATGTTGGGCTTATTAGCTGTTTCCTAATATGTGACGACGTACGACATCTTAAACAAATTAGGACATAAATAACAACCAATTACATCAATAACAATTTAATAACAACTTAGGACAACAATGACAACTGAGGACAACAATGACAACTTAGGACAACAATAACACCTTAGGGCAACAATAACAACTTAAGAATTCGATAGCAACTTGAGACATTTATAAGAACTTACTCTAGTTACCTGATTTCCACTCTGAGATGGGGGACAACTCTCCCGTTGTGTTGTGAAATGCCTTAAATTTCTTGAAATATTTGAGAGATCTGGAACATCTGGCTGTACATCTATTTCCAAACCATCCGGGACATCAACTATTTGTAAACCGTGGTCAAACCCTGGAGGTATGAATAGATACTCGGAACCTAGTGAAAGAAACATTTTTCACGTATTTACTTTAGTTGGATGTGCAAAAGATGACTCCAGAGACTCTATGGAAATTTATATGTATATTTTTAATACTTTTTTTTACTGTCTACATAATTCCAAGAGCGCTTACCTGGCACAATGACTGATGAGGTTCGTGTCTGTTGAGGAGCACCAGAGTGATGAGGATCGCCAGAGTGTTGAGGACCACCAGAGTTTAAAACTAACTCCTGCTGGTGAAATGAAGATTAAAACAAATTTAGTACCTAGGAAACCATTCTGGACAGCAATATTTTATGAGCTCTTAAGGGCAATAATGATAATATTAAGTGTTAGGTAGCAGGGAAGACAGTCTGTTAAATTGCCGAGTGCATTTACTTACTAATCAAGTATTACATGACTTATTATTAAATGTATTATGTCATGTTTGTTTGTCTTTTTCGCGATTGGAACTGTATTGAATGTGTTCATGTTGCAGTAAATGCATACGCTCACATACTTAAAGAATTGGTAATCGTCGACATTGAGAGTAGAACTCCTTTTTTTTTGGTGGCATTTATTATATATTGGCTACTGAAACACTCTATGGGGACTGCGTTCAGGCAGTTTTAAGTAAATAGTGCGAAAAGATATGTTTAGGCTTGGAAAAAACTGACATAAATAAATGAAAATTTCGGCCAAATGCCTTCTTCGGCAGTAATGATCTGTTTATCATGTTTTGTATTGTCTGCTGACGAAGGCATTTGGCCGAAACGACATCTTACTTGTTCTGTCTATTTGCCAAAACTAAAGCTACGTTGAGAAACTAATCTATTTTACTTAGGTAATAAAAGGGATACACATTTTTTTGTATTTTCAATTTATCATATTTAGAATTTAAAATTTTTTTTTTTTTTTCAATGCTACAAAACAATTTGTTTAATTGCTAGAAGGCCATTAGTGGAAGTTCTGGAAGGAAAAGAAGGGATGTTCCTTACGGTCTTTCATATTTATTTACATAGATTGTTGAATCTATCTCGGACGAAAATTAATACGGTAACATTCTCTTACTTCTACAAAGTCCCGAACCTCTCCACTGATGGGATGTCTCCTCGCATTGAGTGTTGTATGGGGCAGACACGGCTCAAGGTACAAGAGTCTTTCGAATGCCAGCTCTCTTGGGACTAAGCTGCAATTAAAGTTCATGAGACCAATGATAAGTTACTTACAGAAGCGGATCTAACTAAAAATGGGTACTATAACAATAGCGTAGGGAAAAAAAGAGGGGGGCCGGCTTATTTTTATTGTACTCAGGGGCGGCATTTTCGTTGAGGGTGGGGTCAAAATCTTGGCAAAATAGTCAAAATAGTAACACTAGCTACGCCAATGGAATACAAACTTTGTATAAAGAATGAATAAAATCAACGACTCTGAACCTCTATTCAAAATCTTGGCCCGCCCCAGGCGATAGTAACACTAGCTACGCCACTGGAATACAAACTTTGTGTAAAGAATGAATAAAATCAACGACTCTGAACCTCTGAACCTCTGAACCTCTTTTCAAAATCTAATTTATTTGAAATGAAATACGGATACATGTTTTTCTCTAGCTTGACATTTATGGGCGGCTATCCCTCCAGCACCCTTTGTAGACGCCCCTGGTTATACTTGGCGGTTACATTGTGTATCAATACATAAGAATATTAAACACTGTTGTAAAATGTTGATCGGGATAAAAAGCTCTTGATGTGTCAGGACTAAACAAGTGGCACAGTCGCATATCGCCACCAGCTGCACACATTATGTAGATCAGTTTGGTCTGAGTAAATCAGCCACTGATGAACAACTTTATACTATGGTTCATTAATGAATACCTGACAGAACATTTGCGCCTAGCTGTATGTATTAAAATTATTGAGAATCAGTCCAAGGTCACTGTTAACATGTCAACTTACTCTCTAAAAAACAGGTCATCTTGTTTCTCATTAAATCTTTTTTGTCATTTATAATTCATTCCATGTTTTCTGGTAGCCTGTGAGAAAATTTCAACTGGGGATCAAACCAGGCAAATGGGTAAAATAGTTGTGTACTACGATCATCTCTCACGTGGCTTGCACTCTTTCCCGTCTACGTAAATGGGGCAGTGAATAGTATAGAGAGTTCACCTGTTTAATTGTGTATGGTTTACTTTTAAACTAACGGGCTAAGGCCATTTTAAAGGGGAGTTGGGGGGGGGGGTTATGATAAGAACCAGATTATCTATATTTTAAAATCAATATTTCAACATCAATATTTCAACATCAACATTTTAATATCAGTATTTTCACATCAATGTCTTAACCTCAATATCTTAGCATCAATGTTTTAACAACAATATTTTAACATCTGTGTTTTAACATCAATACTTGAACACCAATGTTTTAACATCGGGAATTTCAAATGCACAGATGAGCCAGTGACCACGTCAATTCTTATGACCATTACCTTCTCCTTAGATCTACACATAAAAAAGGTCAACTGTGAGGTCCTCCTTCTAAATCACAAGTAAGTAGATAGAGTTGATAATGTAGAGATCTTATCATTCTAGTGCTATCTCTAAATTTGTCTTGGGCTTTGTCGATAACTATGACCATAACTTTAGATGACCTGATGACCTTTCAACTCGTATCGCAAAATGTACTCTCCCGAGTTCAAATTTTTTCTTCATATCAAGTAAAGATCACGAGGCCAACCATCTTTGAGTGGTCAAGATAAAAGGAAACGACCTCCCGGCCTAATTTGTACAAGATACTCACAACAACAGGGAGAAACTCGCAATGAACAGTTAGTTGCTCATTGTGGGAGAGTGTTGCAATAAACAACTAGTTGCTTATTATGAGAGAATGTTGCAATAAACAACTAGTTGTTTATTGCAACAATCTCACATAATTAACATGAGCGATTTTTAGAGGTTCTGGGTGGCCGAGTGGTCTAAACTGCATCAAACCAAATAGCAGGTGGTCTGGAGATCAATCCCCATCAAAGCCAACATCTCAAGCACCCCGGGTGGATGGGACTCGTTAGCCCTGGACGGCAACCCATCTAAGAGAAGGCAGCCAGAATGATTAACAAATCGATCGTGGGACTCTCAAATATAAGAAAAAAGAAGATTGTTGCAATAGACAACTAGTTGTTAATTGTTACAGATTGTTGCAATAGACAACTAGTTGTTAATTGTTACAGATTGTTGCAATAGACAACTAGTTGTTAATTGTTACAGATTGTTGCAATAGACAACTAGTTGTTAATTGTTACAGATTGTTGCAATAGACAACTAGTTGTTAATTGTTACAGATTGTTGCAATAGACAACTAGTTGTTAATTGTTACAGATTGTTGCAATAGACAACTAGTTGTTAATTGTTACAGATTGTTGCAATAGACAACTAGTTGTTAATTGTTACAGATTGTTGCAATAGACAACTAGTTGTTAATTGTTACAGATTGTTGCAATAGACAACTAGTTGTTAATTGTTACAGATTGTTGCAATAGACAACTAGTTGTTAATTGTTACAGATTGATGCAATAGACAACTAGTTGTTAATTGTTACAGATTGTTGCAATAGACAACTAGTTGTTAATTGTTACAGATTGTTGCAATAGACAACTAGTTGTTAATTGTTACAGATTGATGCAATAGACAACTAGTTGTTAATTGTTACAGATTGATGCAATAGACAACTAGTTGTTAATTGTTACAGATTGTTGCAATAGACAACTAGTTGTTAATTGTTACAGATTGTTGCAATAGACAACTAGTTGTTAATTGTTACAGATTGTTGCATTAAACAGAAAACAAAATTCATCCGGAAAAAAAAAAGAGTTTTTTTAAAGCGAAAGAAGCAGCGCTAGCTTAAAAATGCTTAACGTGAGTCGAGGAAGGGGTTTGACTTAGGGCCTAAAGTGCGCAAAAAAAGGTCATTATTCGAGAAGGAAAAGAATTATTTACATTCTTCCGATTTTTTGCATAAAAATGTCGCCTTGGTCCCAGGCTCAGTTGTTCCTTGGCACGGCCCCGAAGATGCTCTTTCAAAAATCTTTTTTTTTGTAAAAACTGTAGACCCTTTAAAAACTTAACATTCGTATTAAAACTTGTATTTAGATATTTAATAACAGTTTTATATGAACAAAACCAGGCAATTCGTGTGATTCTTACTTGAAAGTGCTCGCAACGTGGATGGGAATTCTACTCGGGTCATCGATGTGGCCTTGAACTTGCTCTCGTAATGACGTCAGGACGGGCGGGATGTCCACAGGCAACTGATGACGTCAGATGGAGAATTAAACATAATACTAAAACCTTACTAATACTAATCAATACGGTGGTGGGGCCGGGGGGGGGGAATTAATCAATCTATATAGCGTCGGCCAGCTTACTGGTTCAACTGAGTCATAACGCATGTTTGTTCAGCTTAGACATACAATATATTTGTTCCACTGAGACATACAACATATCTATTCAAAGAGATATACATCACAGTCCTATAAGTTAATGTAACACTAGGGAAAAGCCCAAAAAATCATGAGAATCCCTGACAATGTAACACTGGGAAAAGCCCAAACATCTTTTAAGATGCCCTCACTAATTGTAACTTTGGGGAAAGCCCAAATATTCGTGAGAAGCCCCGACTTACTGTAACACTGGGGAAAGTCCAGATTTGGTTACAAGAATTCACTGTTTCTGTAACTTCTAAATGTCCTCGACTTCCTGTCTCCAAGAGGTCAAAGGTTAACTCCATTTTGTTGTTTAAATTTCACCTGAAAAATTAACATAATATTATTCTGGTTAATAAACTTAAACTTCAATGTACACAGATAAGGCTCAAAGAAATTTGATATCAACTTACAGATGTCTGATTTAAAAAGCTCTGACTTCTGTTTGTTATCACTCATGGTCTATAGCTGTCACGTGACAAAGCCAAGCTATAAAATATCAATCACAGTCTCACCACAAGTTTAAAATGGTTCTAAACAGATATATATGCATAAAACATGGCACCTTCAAATATAGATATATTAAACTTGGCCTCAATAAATATGTTTTAAAATGGCATCTATAAAAATCTATAAAACACTGCATACATAAATATGGATCAATCACGGCCTCTATTAATATGTATAAACATGTCATCTATAGAATTGTAAGACGCACGGCATCTATAAATAATCATAAGACATGGCATCCAGAAATATGCATAAACATGAAACAAATTAAGAAAATACTTAAGATAGGCCGGTTTTACTTACGTCTCATGAAGTATCGTCTTTTATTTGTTCATAATCGATTCTGAAACTCTTCCTCAACATTTTATGTCTATAGCTTTATTTTCATATCACCAAGTCTATATAGTTCATCCAAGTATTTGATGAGGTCCTTCAACACTTGGTGTGTCTGTCAAGGTCCTTCAACACTTGGTGTGTCTGTCAAGGTCCTTCAACACTTGGTGTGTCTGGTCAAGGTCCTTCAACACTTGGTGTGTCTGTCAAGGCCCTTCACCACTTGGTGTGTCTGTCAAGGCCCTTCAACACTTGGTGTGTCTGTCAAGGCCCTTCACCACTTGGTGTGTCTGTCAAGGCCCTTCAACACTTGGTGTGTCTGGTCAAGGCCCTTCAACACTTGGTGTGTCTGTCAAGGCCCTTCACCACTTGGTGTCTGTCAAGGCCCTTCACCACTTGGTGTGTCTGGTCAAGGCCCTTCAACAATTGGTGTGTCTGTCAAGGCCCTTCAACACTTGGTGTGTCTGTCAAGGTATGACTTAAAATAATCTGACTAATATCCAATACTAAATAGCGTACTTTAGCTGGCAGATTGAAGAACACTTGCGGTTTCAATTTGGAGCTCAGGAGAAAAGGAGGCCAAGGGATGACTGTTTACAATGAATGCTACAAACGTGGGAGATGGATCACATCGAATTAACGTAAAGATACATAGAGTGGTCAGGAAACATACAGTTTCCGACCTAGCGGAGCGCAATTAGGACCAGATCTCGGGGAGCGCAATTAGGATCAGATCCGAGAGACTACATTTAGGACACTATTTTAAGGAGGCCAAAATAGAAAATGTGATGTAGAGCACAAATAGGATGGGGTCTATGAGAGCGCAGTTAGGGTGGGGTCTATGAGAGCGCAGTTAGGGTGGGGTCTATGAGAGCACAGTTAGGATGGGGTCTATGAGAGCGCAGTTAGGGTGGGGTCTATGAGAGCGCAGTTAGGGTGGGGTCTATGTGAGCGCAGTTAGGCAAGAGCCTAAAATGGTTAATTTTGGGGAGCGATCAAGACTGGCATGGTTAGTTTATGCGTCCTGACAGAATCCATACATCTTATAGTAATATTCAAGTATTACAATAGATATGAAATAATAATGTTCAGGTATTACAATAGATATGACATAGTAATATTCAAGTATTACAATAGATATGAAATAATAATGTTCAGGTATTACAATAGATATGACATAGTAATATTCAAGTATTACAATAGATATGACATAGTAATATTCCTTAAAGTGATTGAAAACTAATTTTAAGATATGTATTTCGAAGATTCATAGAAACTTGGAGCTGCGGCCCACAGACGGGTGTTCAACTTGAGATCTAGCTATTAAAACAAATCAGCTATTCCAATTCTAAAAAGAAAGGTTATCTCCCAGGAATAAGGAAGAAAACATAACCCCGGCATGACGCGTGACGTCGTCAAACCGAAAGTCGAGTTCTGTGAAACAACAAAAAAAAAAGGAATTTACCATGAGAGAAGCGTTGGGAAATACCCACAAAAAAGTACGTCATAGTAAGGAGGGTAAGGGGAAGGGGGTGGAGGTTTTTCAAGCATTCAAGTGTGCTGGGCAAGGCTGCCACACCTTGAGAAATTTCCCAAGATCTTGGGAATTCACTACCCCATCCAGGACAAGAACTCACTTTAAAAAAAAGAATCTCAAGATAATTTCCCTTTTTAGAAAAAAAACATCTTATATGTTATCTTGATCTTGGGAAATATTTGGAAATATTTTGATCTAATCGTGGGAATTTTTAAAAAAATGAGTGGCAGCCCTGGTGCTGGGCCTCTGAAGGTCTCGGCTAAAACAGTCGTGTCGTGATAACGTAACTATTGACACAGTCATGGTCGTGATAACGTAGTTACTTTGCAAGTCTAGCCTGCCTGCCAAGTGGTGCGTTGATAGGTTCAAACGTCAAGTAAAATCGATTCGATGTGTACGACGGGTCGGCTTGACACGCTGCGGACCAGAGAAAAAGATGTGCATGCGGGCCAAGTCCATGCTGCGGACCAGAGAATAAGATGTGCTTGCGGGCCAAGTCCATGCTGCGGACCAGAGAAGATGATGTGCATGCGGGCTAAGTCCATGCTGCGGACCAGAGAATAAGATGTGCTTGCGGGCCAAGTCCATGCTGCGGACCAGAGAATAAGATGTGCTTGCGGGCCAAGTCCATGCTGCGGACCAGAGAATAAGATGTGCTTGCGGGCCAAGTGCATGGGGTATGATAAGAGATAACCAATTATTCATGTTTAACATCTGGAATATAAAGCTGAGATTACGGAATGCATGCCGGCCTGCTGGCAGCTATATCAAACAGCAAATAGAACGATATCTGACACTGCAAACTCTAAGCAACAAACAAATAGCTATTTGAGGGAAAAAAAAACAAAGCTATAATAACAGCTAGCATATAGCTATTTAAACAACAAAAACATGTAGCTATCTGAACAGCAAACACAGTGTAGGTTGCCACTTTAAAAAAATGAACTTTTCTAATCTTCATTCTCGCATCCCTCAAATATGTTCATAATGTGAAAAGATTTGTCTGGACAAATTATGGATCTATTCTAGGGCTATTTACAAGCAACTAAACACCTACAATATTATGCAATATTATATTAGATATTTATTGAGAATATTATAAATATCCTAAAAATTAAGACCTTCCTGTAGTTGTTAACTGTTACTTTACAAGTTAACTGTAAACAATATAGCACACAGTCAGTTTAAGTCTAACAGTGAACGAGCATGTCATATTGTCAATCATTTATCTGCCCCTGTGAATGTTACTGCCAGATGTAAATGTTACTGCCGATGTGAATGTTACTGCCGATGTGAATGTTACTGCCGATGTGAATGTTACTGCCGATGTGAATATTGCTGGAGCGGCATATGCACTAACTGTGGTATTGGCCAGGGGTGTCTATCCCACTACTGTGAAGACGCCCCTGGTAAAGGCTGACCTGTTAGGGTTTGGAAATTCATAGAGGTACTTCTTTACGCCCTTGGGCGCTCGTCCACGACAAATATCATGATTAAAATTATTTAAAAAATAATTTAAATTAAACATATTTGAAATAATCATGACTGATTATCTCCCAAACTTTGAGCTAAACAAGAGAAGTAATAATTACTATGCCGGGTGCCGTCCATGGCTTGACATGTAAATAGTTATGGAATGGGTGGGTTGAATATACCATTGTTTTGTTTTTTTTCACTAATGTATGTTAATTTTTAAGCTGATGATTATGTTTGTTGAATTGTATATACAGCGTGGTGAGCCTAGCCATAGGCTGGACTATAAAAAACACCAATAATACTGTAACGGTGACCAAAATATTTACAGATTATTACCTTAGTGCGATCAGATCTCAGAAAAAGCCATCGTCCATTTGACTAGAAGATGTACGGTATTTCAATACTATAAATTACACTCTTCATTTACAACTTTAAAGGACGCATTCGACAACAACACACATATTCCAAGAATGCCATGTTTGGTCTTGTTGATATAAAACCGGGCTTTCCCGGAAGCCACCCAAAGTTGGACCACTTTGTCTTCTAGTCAAGATAAAAAACCATTGTGTAGTGGAAGTGGTTGAACTATTTAAGTCGGTCGTGTTGTGTGTGTTCGGCTTGGGGCTTAAAACATCCACTTCACATGTGTCAGGAGTGCTGCACTCACAACATACAACACATATGTATTGGGAGTGCTGCTAGGACTCAGACTGCTCAATGATATGCTATCGATTTTGCTGTGTTAACGGCAGGAGTGGGGTGAGAAGGCATTTTAAATTCATCTCCATCCCCCCTCCCCCTTTCTAGCCACACACAAAAAAAAAATAATAATAATAATAGATTAGTAAATTGGTACGCATCTCCTTCAAGGACATTTGAATATATTTACTTTTGCGAATCTAAAGATTTCGTGTTTCAAAATAAATGAAGTTGTTTTTGTTTTTCAAGGATATCACTGGTACAGTCATGAGTAATACGATTGTTAAAAAAGTGGATTCCCTCATATTTAACAGGGTCAAGTTAACTTAGGAAACTCTCTAATCGAATCGTCGATTAAAATCGTCTTCTTCTTTCGTTTCCCCTTCACAAAATGATCACGTGATCCAGCAGGATAAAATAACTTCAATGTAATGCGCAAAGATCGATTATTACAACATATTGATATGTCATTCGTATATTTCCTTTGTATGTATTTTTGTTTGGGTTTATGTAAGTGATTTAGTATGTATGTACTTATACGTAGTCTACTGTTTATTTGATTGTAAGTGATTTAATATGTATGTACTTATACGTAGTCTACTGTTTATTTGATTGTAAGTGATTTATCATTTATCAGAACAGTCATGTAGTGGGCAAACTCGTGGTGAAAGTAGGTTTCATATTGCCTTGATTTAACCTTTCAAAAATAAATCGTTTTCTTTCTGCATAAACAAATACGTCACAAATAAAAAGCAAATTGATTCTAAGCTAGGAAAAAAAGTTTTTTACGGTCTATCACTACATTCCTAGTCAGAATGAATGTAGTTACCAGTCTTTCACTACATTCCTAGTCAGAATGAATGTAGTTACCAGTCTATCACTACATTCCTAGTCAGAATGAATGTAGTTACCAGTCTTTCACTACATTCCTAGTCAGAATGAATGTAGTTACCAGTCTATCACTACATTCCTAGTCAGAATGAATGTAGTTACCAGTCTATCACTACATTCCTAGTCAGAATGAATGTAGTTACCAGTCTATCACTACATTCCTAGTCAGAATGAATGTAGTTACCAGTCTTTCACTACATTCCTAGTCAGAATGAATGTAGTTACCAGTCTATCACTACATTCCTAGTCAGAATGAATGTAGTTACCAGTCTATCACTAAATTCCTAGTCAAAATGAATGTAGTTACCAGTCTATCACTACATTCCTAGTCAGAATGAATGTAGTTACCAGTCTATCACTACATTCCTAGTCAGAATGAATGTAGTTACCAGTCTATCGCTACATTCCTAGTCAGAATGAATGTAGTTACCAGTCCATCGCTACATTCCTAGTCAGAATGAATGTAGTTACCAGTCTATCACTACATTCCTAGTCAGAATGAATGTAGTTACCAGTCTATCACTACATTCCTAGTCAGAATAAATGTAGTAACCAGTCTATCACTACATTCCCATCAGAATGAATGTAGTTACCAGTCTATCACTACATTCCTAGTCAGAATGAATGTAGTTACCAGTCTATCACTACATTCCTAGTCAGAATAAATGTAGTAACCAGTCTATCACTACATTCCCATCAGAATGAATGTAGTTACCAGTCTATCAGTACACTTTTTGTCAGAATAATGTAGTTACCAATCTAGCGCTACAGTCTTAATCAAAATAAATGTAGTTACCAGGCTGGCGCTAAATTCCTGGTAAGAAAATATGTAGTTATCAGTCTAACAAATTCTTAGTCAGAATAAATGTAGTTACCAGTCTAGCGCTACATTTTAAGTATGAATAAATTTAGTTACCAGTCTAGCACTAAATTCCTAGTGAGAATAAATGAAGTTACCAGTCTAGCACTACATTCTTAGTCTAAATAAATGTAGTTGCCAGTCTAGCGCTAAATTCCTAGTAAGAACCAATGTAGTTACCAGTCTAACGCTGCATTCTTAGTCTAAATTAATGTAGTTACCAGTCTAGCACTAATTTCCTAGTCAGAATAAATGTAGTTACCAGTCTAGCACTAAATTCCTAGTCAGAATAAATATAGTTACCAGACTAGAACTAAATTCCTAGTCAGAACAAATGTAGTAACCAGTCTAGCACTACATTCCTAGTCAGAATAAATGTAGTTACCAGTCTAGCGCTACATTCTTAGTCTAAATAAAGTGGGTTTTTTTTAAAACATATCCCTCGATCAATAAACCTTGTCAACAAAAAAAAAATTCATCAAGTACATCCCATAATGTCACCACATAAAGTAAGTCAGTATGCTCCTAGTACATCCCATAATGTCACCACATAAAGTAAGTCAGTATGCTCCTAGTACATCCCATAATGTCACCACATAAAGTAAGTCAGTATGCTCCTAGTACATCCCATAATGTCACCACATAAAGTAAGTCAGTATGCTCCTAGTACATCCCATAATGTCACCACATAAAGTAAGTCAGTATGCTCCTAGTACATCCCATAATGTCACCACATAAAGTAAGTCAGTATGCTCCTAGTACATCCCATAATGTCACCACATAAAGTAAGTCAGTATGCTCCTAGTACATCCCATAATGTCACCACATAAAGTAAGTCAGTATGCTCCTAGTACATCCCATAATGTCACCACATAAAGTAAGTCAGTATGCTCCTAGTACATCCCATAATGTCACCACATAAAGTAAGTCAGTATGCTCCTAGTACATCCCATAATGTCACCACATAAAGTAAGTCAGTATGCTCCTAGTACATCCCATAATGTCACCACATAAAGTAAGTCAGTATGCTCCTAGTACATCCCATAATGTCACCACATAAAGTAAGTCAGTATGCTCCTAGTACATCCCATAATGTCACCACATAAAGTAAGTCAGTATGCTCCTAGTACATCCCATAATGTCACCACATAAAGTAAGTCAGTATGCTCCTAGTACATCCCATAATGTCACCACATAAAGTAAGTCAGTATGCTCCTAGTACATCCCATAATGTCACCACATAAAGTAAGTCAGTATGCTCCTAGTACATCCCATAATGTCACCACATAAAGTAAGTCAGTATGCTCCTAGTACATCCCATAATGTCACCACATAAAGTAAGTCAGTATGCTCCTAGTACATCCCATAATGTCACCACATAAAGTAAGTCAGTATGCTCCTAGTACATCCCATAATGTCACCACATAAAGTAAGTCAGTATGCTCCTAGTACATCCCATAATGTCACCACATAAAGTAAGTCAGTATGCTCCTAGTACATCCCATAATGTCACCACATAAAGTAAGTCAGTATGCTCCTAGTACATCCCATAATGTCACCACATAAAGTAAGTCAGTATGCTCCTAGAACATCCCATAATGTTACCACATAAAGTAAGTCAGTATGCTCCTAGTACATCCCATAATGTTACCACATAAAGTAAGTCAGTATGCTCCTAGTACATCCATAATGTCATCACATAAAGTAAGTCAGTATGCTCCTAGTACATCCATAATGTCATCACATAAAGTAAGTCAGTATGCTCCTAGTACATCCCATAATGTTACCACATAAAGTAAGTCAGTATGCTCCTAGTACATCCCATAATGTCACCACATGAAGTAAGTCAGTATGCTCCTAGTACATCCCATAATGTCACCACATAAAGTAAGTCAGTATGCTCCTAGTACATCCCATAATGTCATCACATAAAGTAAGTCAGTATGCTCCTAGTACATCCCATAATGTCACCACATAAAGTAAGTCAGTATGCTCCTAGTAAATCCCATAATGTCACCACATAAAGTAAGTCAGTATGCTCCTAGTACATCCCATAATGTCATCACATAAAGTAAGTCAGTATGCTCCTAGTACATCCCATAATGTCACCACATAAAGTAAGTCAGTATGCTCCTAGTAAATCCCATAATGTCACCACATAAAGTAAGTCAGTATGCTCCTAGTACATCCCATAATGTCACCACATAAAGTAAGTCAGTATGCTCCTAGTACATCCCATAATGTCATCACATAAAGTAAGTCAGTATGCTCCTAGTACATCCCATAATGTCACCACATAAAGTAAGTCAGTATGCTCCTAGTACATCCCATAATGTTACCACATAAAGTAAGTCAGTATGCTCCTAGTACATCCCATAATGTTACCACATAAAGTAAGTCAGTATGCTCCTAGTACATCCCATAATGTCATCACATAAAGTAAGTCAGTATGCTCCTAGTACATCCCATAATGTCACCACATAAAGTAAGTCAGTATGCTCCTAGTACATCCCATAATGTCACCACATAAAGTAAGTCAGTATGCTCCTAGTACATCCCATAATGTCACCACATAAAGTAAGTCAGTATGCTCCTAGTACATCCCATAATGTTACCACATAAAGTAAGTCAGTATGCTCCTAGTACATCCCATAATGTCATCACATAAAGTAAGTCAGTATGCTCCTAGTTTGTTTGTTTTGTTTGTTTTCTTAGGGAGAAGGGGGGTTTGGGGGTGGTGGGGGGATTTGGACCCAAGCTAAATAAGCTTTAGGAATATTTGACACACGTAGGCAGAAAAAACGAAACGATAACTCGAGACAAAAGTTTAACAACGAGTCGTGTACTGTCTTTATTCTCATTTAAAAAAAACATTTTTTTAATGTATCACAGAGTCGCATGGGGTTTCAGGAAAATGATATCCATAAAATATTGTGTTTAATATTACTGGAAATATGATAATAAACACACAAATATTATTATTATTATTATTATTATTATTATTAAAGTTATTATAATTAAAATTATTATAATTATTATATTTAT